TTAGCATGGTAGTATAAGTAGGGGATTCTTTGTTAAGCAGGGGGACACATTCTGATTCTTGTACTGAAACACTTAGCAATACAATTTGTTACATATCGATTATATTCTCTGGTAACATATTTACCTTCATGATGTTTGGAATTTATTCATCGGGTCTTTTATGTGTTTTTTGTTTTTTTTATTGGTTGATGCATTGCTCTAATTTATTCCTCAGGTGTTATGTTGTTTTTTGGTTTTTTAATGAACATTTCTGTGTTTTGTTTATGATGTTGGAAATTTAAACACATTGAGTGCAACAGTCTATGCTTTATGTGCTATTGTGTGGATTATTTTTGTGCGAACTCTATATGCACATAGTGAAATACAGTGTGGCACATCATAATCCCAAGCTATTTTCTGTATCAGTTTTTTTGAGCATCGTGGCACACACTCGTAAACCCAAGTACACACTCTAATCTATCACATCAACCAGGTTTTTGTGTATTCATACTATTAGTATTACTGTAAAATATGACACACACATTTCAGCCCAAGTGCACACATATATACTTCTTCTATGTCTTTTCATACACACACTCATTTTTCACATTATCTCACTCACAGTTTAACCCAAGTGCACACTGTAGTCTATAACATCAAAATGGTTTTCGTGGATCCGTTATGTCAGTATTATTGCACATTACGACACATACAATTCAGCCCAAATGCACACCAACCTCTTTTCCGTGAATTGATTTTGTCATGATTATTGAACATTTTGACACACACAATTCAACTCAAGTGCACACTGGCCAGGTTTATGTGCACACCCTTCTTATCGCAAGGGCACACAGCTAAAAACAAATGTGCACATGCGTACGAACAAGTCCGAATGCTAGGCCCACACATGCACACTCTGCAATGCATACATGCACAAACTGACAGTGTTATGCTTTTTTTTTAGTATCAAATCCACGTTGTGCATACAATTCTTATTTTAAGTGCAAACACTTACAACTAATAGGCACACGTTTATTCTCGTATTGATGCAAAGTCCAAATCAGAATTGCTTTTTTTTTTTCTCTCTCCTTTCTCCCCCTTTTTTATTCATTTTATTTATTTTATTTCATTATTATACATATTTATATACAGATTATTTGTGCACATTATGGTACAGACAGTTTAATCGAAATGCACATCGCAGTCTATCACATCATATTGTCTCACATGTTGTCATATATTGAGTAACATTGCACATTATGGCACATACAACATAACGCAAGTGCATATCGTAGTATGCTAAATCAATTTGTTTCACGTTTATTCATTCACAAACATATTAATTAAGAATGAGCTAAATATATGTATGTATGTATGTATTGAATTTGAGAAGCGTTGCCCAACCAAAGACTTCATTGACTCTTCACGCTATGAAGTCTAGTACCTCGTTGGTCCCAGTGAAATATTCATCAAACACCCGCATGAACTCCCTGATGAGCCGTCATGACCTGTGAATCATTGAATTCATTATTTACTCAGTATATGGTTAAGCAATGTGGCACAAACATCCGAACCAAAGTGCACGCGCTCAGGGTTTTTGTGGTCAGTGTGGTACATTCATTAGCCCGTAAGTGCATACAAGAAAATCATGACTTCAGAGAATAGGATGTGTGCATGTACACAGGGTTCCTATAGCCTGTGTGGCACATTCATTACCCCGTATGTGCCTACATTATAGCCTAAATGCACGCCCCAACCTATTACAAGGGTATTCGTGCGTACACATTCGTATACGTGTACATACACACATCCCACTCTCTATACTCGTGATACCATGTGTGCACTTACCTTAAGTCGTAGGTGCACACAACCCTGGTGGATATGAAAGGCAGGGGTGTGCACTTGCGTAACGTAGTGTGTGCCATAATATGCAGAATTAGTGTGTGTGTGTGTATAACAAGACGGAAAATATTTGAATGTGCACTTAGATTGTGTTGTTTGTGCCGTACTGTCCACAAAATATATTGACCCAATGAATTCACGTAAACTAGATTGTTACAAGACAATGTTGTGCACTTGCGTGATTTGGTGTGTGCCATGACGTACATGACAATTAGCAAAAATGACAGAATCATAACATGATGGCAGCCAAATGTACAGACCACTCTTGTTGAACATTCCCTACCAAGAGTGTCAACACAACACATGTATGGATGTATTCAAATAAATTGTAGGCGCTTCCACACAGCAGCACGAATGGATGTATTCAAATAAATTCCAATTATACATACGCACAGTTATATAGGGACAAATATTAATGTTACCTGGGTTTTCGCCACTTGCCATTATTCTGCAACAGTCGGCGATGACCGGTGGGCCACGTTTCTCTCCTAAATCTGACGATGCACACGTCTGGCAGAGATTCGCAGGCGTTGGTCGGAGAGGTCCCTATCGCAGCGGTGTCATTCGCAGAATAGCAGAAAGAATAGAATCATGAATCATCTACTTTTCCTATATTCTTGGGATAATTTCAAATACAAAATTAATTATTAATTGTTGGGTGCTGAAAATTACTCTAGTATCCCTTGAAATTACTTAAACTAATTGTCTCCTTATTAATGATTAGTTAATATAAACCATTGATGGGATGGGATTCAAAGGCTTAGATTAGTTCTCATGTTCCTACCTAAACACACACACACACACACACACACACACACACACACACACACACACACACACACACACACACACACATATATATATATATATATATATATATATATATATATATATATATATATATATATATTCAAGTAAAAACGTGGCTTAAAATACAAACTTGCGGATATTTCTTGATCGTTGGATTTTGGATATCTAAGGTTGTGATTAGTTTTTATGATTTTGTGTGTTGTCCGCCTGTCATTGAATACATGCTCATATATTTGCACACCATGTCATTGAATACATGCTCATATAAATCCCCTTCTTCAATAATATGATTCGTACATAGCATACAGACTACTTCATGCACACAGTACTGTAGCGAGATGCACACACAATAATTACTAAATATTAAGATCGTTTACATGGAAGCAAAAAATGGAAAATGTGAAACCAACACTTATTTGGTATCATATCTTGAGATGTGTGCTTGTATTGCAACGAGTGGTAGCAAACACGACAAGATATTCTTGAATAATTTACAAATTGACTGTGTGCATCTTAGTGTATATGTCTATGCACTACTAAGTTCATACTCGTATATTTGCGGATACAACTTTATTTTCGTTCCATTCACGGGGATGTCTATGCCCAAAATCGTAGTATAATTAGTAGTAATTAATTTGGTGTTAACTAGCAAGGTACACACGCACATACATATGTGTGCCCACAGCTAAGTATAATTAGTAATACTTAGTTTGGTGTTTGCAAGTGCACACTAATATGAGTGTATGTGCACACAATGCCCAAAACGGTAGTATAAGTAGTAATAAGTAGTACGGTTAGATCCAGTGGTGGGCACACGGTCGAACACATGTGTGCACACAGTGCCCAAAACGATAATATAAGTAGTACGATTAGATCCGGCGGGGTGTGTGCCCAAAATGGTAGTATAAGTAGTAATACATAGTACGGTTAGATCTAGTGGGAGCACACGGCTAAACACATGTATGCACACAGTGGCCAAAACAATAGTATAAGTAGTACGGTTAGATCCAATTATGTGCACGCGGCCATACACATGTGTGCACACAGTGCCCAAAATGGTAGTATAACTAGTACGGTTAGATCCAGTAGGGTGCACATGGCAGTACACATGTGTGCACACAGCTAAATGCATTCGGTTGAGAAATGCAAAAATACCAAATGAATCCATACATATGCGTGTTTATGAGCACACAGGCTACCTTATGGGCATAAAGGGCCGGAATGATAACTAGGTAAAGAATTGTAGTGTAATCGTTACTAATTAATACGGGGGTGCACACGCGCACACAAGAGTGCGCACACAGATCAACGGGCATAGAGGGACAAGATGTTAGATAGCTGCAGCATGGTGGTGTAATAACGAACGTAATTACTTAGACAGCTACCGAACTTTTAAACATATATATTAAGCCTATATGAACACATTAGAATTCTATATGGGCAACATTTGTAACTGTGTAGTTCAATCTCAAGGATGCAACAAATAACCAGGTGAGATGTGGTGTGCACACGAGTGTCCCCTGCTAAAAAACAAAAATAAATATCCTTGCGAACTAAATATGGCTTCCAAACACCCAATAGGTATAATAGATGGAACAATACAGTACATGCGAAAAAATTAACCACCTACGCAAACAAAAAAAACAAACAAGCTCCTGAATGTCAGCCTTCCCTTCTATTAAGCGTTTAAGTTCTTTAACGCGTCGACCAATATCGCAGACGGTACCCTTGTCTTCACCCGAGGAAACATAGCAGCCTCCTCCGCTATGAGTTTATAATCGGGGGCATTCTACCGAGGACGTTCTCGTTAATGAGGAGGTTATGCATAATTATTGTTCAATCTCCAACATTAGCCTGAACAATATTTAGAAATGCAGTACAATTCATTCGTTCGTAGAAGCCGACTCAATCTTTTAGTGCGTACTGTGAATAGCTAAGGCCTATAACAAAGAACCACAATCTCACCACAAGGATCGCCAGTCTTTACCTCCACAATGTTATAACAATTTCAAACAAAGTTATGAATCATACAAAGCAAAAAAAAAAAAAAAAAAAAGGATGAAGACAAAGCCATATGGATTAATATGTGGTAATCTAAGAAGAACTTCGATGAAAACCCAGGGAAGCTGTAGGTTTTCACAACCCACTTGCCTGTTCAACTCCATTTCTGTAAACAAGTAGGTTTTGTCAAGAAATTTCATCATTAAAGTATATTAGACCTCAAATGCAAAGGAAGTAAATGTACTGCATATGAAATTAATGTTTTCTACTCAAATTATTGATAGAGATAACAATTACTATAGCTCCTGTCACAAGAATATAGAAGTTGGTTGGTGCTTCATATGCAGCTCCTGGATAACCCTATTCCTCATCCTCTGGGTCTCGTCTTCTAGACGCAGATTCAGAATCCGAGTACCTTCAGACTCCTCTCCTTCACTGGGCTCCCTGCAACACCCATCACCAGTTCCCCCCAACTTAGAACGAGAAAGTTGCCAAAAAATTGCATAATTCTAACTAAAATTACTTGCGTTAGGATGCTCCACGAGATCTAAAAGCTTTGTCTGTAAATTCTCATCGTTTCTCACCGCCATTAACGAGCACTGAGCCGAAATCGAATAATAAAAAGCCTTAGTCCCCAACACCGCCGCCACCATGGCTTTGTCATCGTCACTCCACGACAAGTTCACCATAGCCATCTTTATTAATTTAAGCACCACCGCCTTCCGCCTTCCTCTCTTCGACTTCCAAATAGAATCCGGCTTTGGGGATCCTAATTTCCAGGGTTCCGAGTCCATCGAAGTAGACAACGACGAAGCCTTCAATTGCATTGCCAGCAGCCCGATCTGTAACCTCGATCATAACCTCCGCCAGATCGATAAACTTCTTCGGCCTTCCTCTGGTCAATTTCCTCGACCTACACCCCAGGTCCCTGGCGCTTGGCTCTATTGTGGTTCCCACCCACGACCATTGTCCGCTAGTGATGAAGAGGGGAATCGAATGGCGTAAGAGAATTTTGCGGCCAACGATCTCTAAAGAGAGAGAGAGAGAAATCGGGCTCAATAATTAACGTGGAATCTAATACGATTACATCAAGAGTTAAAATCCAAAAATACCCTCCTAATAATAAAAACAGGCGCACAACATTTAACTCCCCATAAATAATTAAATCAATCATATCCATCCAACCTCAAAATCCAATGATCCTAAGTAATCCTCATGTTTATATTTTAAGGGTTGTTTGTATTTGAATATAATCATATATATATATATATATATATATATATATATATATATATATATATATATATATATATATATATATATATATTGATAGTGTAAATACACGGGTGACCTAATACAATCTAAATGGCTACTCCGAGGGCCGACTGACTGCGGTCGGGTTGCTATGTAAGTAGCCTCTTGATCGTTCCAAAAGTCCCCTTCGCCTTATCCTCCGTGGATATTTATAGCCCATCGCCGGGAACAGCCTCCGGCCTATCGGCATGTACTCCACGCAGCATCCACGTGCCAAAACCCAGTGGTCACCCTCTGTCGACGCCTGGTGCTGCCATGTGCCCCTCTCCAGCGATACCGCTTCCATGTGGAGAAATGGTATGGCGGTCGAGCAGAACAGCGGTCGGGAGGTGAATCAGCCGGGCGAACTCGAACGCCTCTAAGTAAAAAGGTCAGCACAAGGTTATATGGACGACCGGTACCGACCGCCTTCTAGCTGCAGCGCTCGGGCAAAGGAACTGTACTGAATGATGCGGAGAACAAACTAGGTCGGTCGGGATATATTCTACTAAGAGCCCCCCAGCCCGGGCTGTTTCGGACCGTCTAGGAGAAACCGGTACGGGATGAAAAGATCACGTCATCCGGGCCTTCGGCCCCGATCTCCCAGCTGTCCTCGCCCGAGACACACGTCACTCCTTAGGCACCTTGGGATTCGGAACGGTCACCTCACGCAAGTGGGTGGTTTTCCCGCCAAAAGGGCTCCTATAAATAGGCCCTTGCAAGGTTCATTTCTACTTTTACTACGCTGTGGAAATCAATCAGAGCTTCCCGAGCCATTAACGCTGTAGATCGATCGGATTTTGCACCTCCTCAACCGCTCACCAAGTTCTACCCATCGGTAAGTCCTTTCTTTCTACTTTCGTTTAAGTTTCTTTTATTTCTCGTATAACGCTCGTCCCCGTCGTCCCGATAACCTCGGTTTACTATACCCCGACCCCTTCCGCTGAACCGACCGTCTCCTTTATGAAGGGGATATGTCAGGCTCAGATAGTCAGAACATCTCGGGGGCGGACTACGACAACACGATCGAGAGCGATAGCGAAGAAACGATGATAGAAGCGTCCTCACCCGAGGTTACTAATGACGGTCAACAACCAAGCGCGGTTCCCAAGCCAAAAGAAAGCTCCGAGGGCTCATAAGGCTCGTCGAGCTCGAGCGGCAACAGCGAAGACAGCGACAGTGCATCCACCAGCAGCCACGAGTCCCCAACCGATCGCGATTGGGAAACACCCACTCCGACGATCGGGTCCGGTTCCGAAGTTCATGCATCGCCCCGCGTTCGAGAAGCTTCGCACGATTCGACGGACGAAAGACCATCCCACGCGGCACCTGAAGAGATCGAATTCATCTTCCTCAACAGTGAAAGCGTCGATCAACAAGAATGCCTACTGTCGGCCCACGAGGCGGCGGATATCTCGGCCACACTAAACGGGCGGGTGAAGTTCGATACCAGCAGGAGCCTCGGGGAAATTAAAGAATGGCACCAGATCTGCCCGAACGCTCATCGGATACTGGCGTGCTTCCCGCATATATGTGCTCGGCATAATTCCATGTGTACGATGGAGCTCTTTAACTACATTTATGTAGTTAAACCCTTGCCAGCCATATACGGTGCTGGATTCCTGATGATTCAATCCCGGGACCATCTATGCTCAATCGCCCACCTTCCCGGAAAAAACCGAGGATGGAAGAACAGGATCTTTTCGGTTGAATATGACCCTTGGATCCTGCCAGTCGACCGAACGTGGGGGATGCACTACAGGAAACACGTACAATCACCAGCCACTCGAGCCCTTCGCGAAGCAACCTTCCGCATTCCATGCGCGTTCCACGAATACAAGATCTTTCGATCGAGAGAGGCGTACGAGAACACCCGATTGCCGCCGCCCTGATATGACTTAGAACTGAAGTACACGCCACGACAGCTTTCGGGTGTCGATTGCCGTAGCGGCCCCTCAAACCATGTCGACCGTCAAAGGTTCACCTCCCGTTACACTTCCTCGGCCTATTCATGCCGACTTTCAACAAACTAACGTTGTGCTTTTTCTTTGCAGGAATGGGCCCTACTCGTGGTTTTCCGATCGCCAGCGCTCCCCGAGCCCCCCGAGCCAAACTGATGCTCGGAGGAAAGGCGACGTCCAATGCCCCATCGGCCGGTCAAGAGGTCGGGGACGCTTCCGTGCCGTTTGGTCGTCCCTTGGGTGCTTCCACGACCACCCCCGAGGGGGTTCTACCCGTAGACACCGCGGTTGACCCGTTGGCCCCCCGAGCCCACGGTTGGAAGGGAAAAGAGAAGGCGTCGGGGAAGGACACAGAAGAGGCGGGCTCCCTCAAGCATCGCCGAAGGCAAAGCCCCCCGGCTGAAGTTGTCCCGAGCGGCGGACAGACGGGCGGGGAGTTGACTCAATCCCTCCTTGCCAAGATCAACAATCTCCTTCCAATCGGGGAGGACATGACCGGATGGTCACCGAACCGGATGGCCGAGAAGGGGGCACGGGACTTAGTCGAGGTTTGTTAAGACTGCTTTTAGCTTTTAATCGTTTGGAGCCGATCGATTATCTTAATGTCATTTTCTTGCAGGCATCGCGAGCAATCCTCGGCCTACACTATCGGGCCTTGATGTCAAATAAAGCTGAGGCCTTGAAGCGGGTCGCCGACCGCCGTGGAAAGGAAATCGCTGACCTTCAGAAGGAGCTAAAAGCCGCTAAGGAGGCTCAAGCGGCGACCGAAAAGGAGGCGCGAGTTGCCCTAGCGGAAGCGGGCAAGCTGAAGACCCGACTGGGCAATATAGAGGGCCTGGCCAAGTTCCTATGCCGCGACGAGCCCTCGGCTGATAAGTTCTTCCGAGCCCTTATGAAGAATAAGCTTGGGGAAGAAAAGGTCTGGACCTTCAGCCATTCGGCCTACGCGTCCGGTCAAAGGGCGATGCGGGAGGAGACCTGGACTATAATGGAGGAGGTCTTTGAGGGCGAGGATCTGAAAGCGGTGTTGACCACTCTTCCGGACGAGATCCCCGACCCCGGGCCCATGCCCTTTACCGAGCCATCCGCGTCGGGATCTGAAGCTGAGCCAGCTACGGGAGAGCAGGCTAGAGGGAAGGCTGTGTGATCAACGACCGAGCCTAGAGAATTTCTTTTTCTTTTTTGATTTTTTGTATCTTAACTCAATCGGGAGCCCGGTCCTGTTTGTGCCGGGCAACCTTTATGCTTTTAAATGAATCAATCGATTGTTCATTGCATATCGCTTTTTATTTTTCACATTTTATGCTTGCTTTTTCAACCTTAACCCTTATCCTTAGCCCCCACACTGCCGGACGTACGAGAGACGAGTGAGTGCGACAGTGGTTAAGAGGTAAGTTAACGTTGGGATTTGATCGAGCACATACCGGCTGACATGCCTTACCTGGTCGGTGTCGTAGTATAAATGTTCGCCGATCATGAGACCTATTTACCGAGTATTCTGAACTGCCCGGGTGAAATGTGAACGACTTTTGAAGTCGTTGGGGTTTTACCCCTATCGGTCGGTGCCGAACGGGGGCCTTTACCCTCATCGGTTATAACCGGATAGTTGATCCCGGTTTTATCAAGTAAATTTTAGCGACATTGTGGTCGTTGGGCGTTCGCCCGTTTCGGTCGTTGTCGCTGAGTCTTGAGAGTTGGAAGTCAGTTGAATCACGCTCGAGATCGAACTCTGGAATCGATTTAATAGCCTACGTACTATTTACATATCATGGTTATCAACCGCGCCCTCGTGCGCAGACGAGCAAGCACTCAACGATCGATTATACACAACTGAGTCCCGTACGCAGACTGGTGAACACTTAAACACTCACTTGTACATGGGTAAAAGACGGGCGTGCCCACTCGCAGGTTAGGCACCCACCCCGTCAAAATAAAACATTAAAATCAATGGCGGAACAACACTAAATTTTCCGAGTTCCACGTTCCGTCGATCGACCTCCCAGTGGTTGTTTCAATATGGTAGGTGCCCGGGCGAACGACCGCTGTGATCACATACGGTCCCTCCCAATTTTGGGCCAGTTTGCCTCCTTCAAGGGGTTGACTTGCTTCCCGTCGTCGTAACACATAATCCCCGACCTGAAAATAGCGCGGCTGGACCCGGACGTCCTTGGTGTCTTTCACTCTCTGTTGGTACTCAGCCATGCGTTTAGCAGCGATCTCCCTTTTTTCTTCCACACTATCTAGGTCCACGGCTAGAGAATGTTCATTCTCTATTGCATCGTAGGACCGCTCCCTAGCCGTCGGGATCCAAGCTTCAATTGGCAACCGTGCCTCGGTGCCATAAACCAGTGCAAAAGGAGTTTCTCTCGTTGCCTCTCTAGATGTTGTGCGATATGTCCAGAGTATAAATGGGAGTTCATTGGCCCAGCTTTGACCGGTTGAACGTAACTTTTTCTTCAATCCCTCTAAGATGGTACGATTGGCATTCTCTACTTGACCATTCCCTTGAGGGTAGGCCACCGATGATCGGATTGAGGTCGTCCCGATCGTCGCCAGGAAGTTTTGGAAATATCGACCCACAAATTGCCGGCCATTGTCACTTATCAGTTGAATAGGGAAGCCGAATCGAGAGACGGCATTTCGCCATAAGAAACGAGCGCACTGTTGGGAAGTGATCGTGGCCAAGAGCTCGGCCTCGATCCATTTGGAGAAATAGTCTATAGCGACGATGACAAAATGCCAACGCCCAGATAATTGTGGAAAGGGCCCTAATATATCCACCCCCCATCGAGCGAATGGAATTGCAGTCGTGACCGGCTGATAGAATGTTGCAGGACGATCAGGCATAGAGCTGGCATGTTTCACAGCCTTTAGCGAGCTTCTCACAGTCTAATTGTATAGACGGCCAATAATATCCGATCACCATTATGCGACGAGCCAACGAGCGCCCCCCTTGATGCGATGAACAGAGGCCTGAATGTAGCTCGTTCATAACCAACTCTGCTTCGAAGGAATTGAGGCACCGCATCAAGGGGCCGCCATACGATCGCCGGTATAAACGGCCATCCTGCACCTGGAACCTTGGGGCCCGTAGCTTAGCTTTTCGAGCGCGTTGTGGGTCGTCCAGCAAACGGGCATGCTGCAAATATTCCATCAAGTTTGTAATCCAAGTCTTTTCGACTGGTTGAACAGGGACGACCGGCAGCCGATGGATGCTATGCCTCGGAATCATTAAGATTCGAGCGATCTTGGACATGTGCTTGGGGGCATCTTGTGCCACCTTAGACAAGATATCTACATCAGCGTTATCCAAGCGGGGAACATGCCGAATTGTATACGCTCGGAATAGGTTAAGTTTTTCCATTGCTAGATCCCGATAAGCTTGAAGTCGCTCACCGTTAACCTCATACTCCCCGAGTACTTGTCCGACCACCAGGGCGGAATCTGTTTGTGCTCGGATATAATCAGCCCCCAGTTCCCGTGCACATTGTAATCTATTGATGAACGCTTCATATTCTGCCTCATTATTGGTGGGGGTGAACTGGTACATCAAGGCGTAATAAACTTTGAAGCCTTCCGGGCTCGTGATTACTACTCCTCACCCCACTCCTTTCTTGCTGCTCGATCCATCAGTGGCCAACGCCCACCAGGCCGCTTCGGGATCTTCCAAATTTTGAGGTTGAGTATCCCGAGCGGTGCATTCTACGAGGAAATCTGCCAAGGCTTGACCCTTGATAGCTGGGCGCGGTCGGTATTCCATGGCGAACTAGGTCAACATCAACGCCCATTTTACTAGGCATCCGGAGGAAGAAGCGATGCGAAGGACAACTCCGAATGGCTGGTTGATAAGCTTAATTTCTAGACATTATTTAGAGTAATTTTAGTGAGTGATTTGCATAAATAAATTAAGTTTTATGGTTAATTTTATTATAAATATTATATTTAGTTATATGTTACTAGTTTAGACTAGTTTAGATGGGTTTTAATAAATATTAGGCTAATGTTACATTTTTATTAATATAAATAAGAGTTTTAGTTTTAGCTATAGTATTAGATTTATTTGGTAGTTTATATCTTAATTTTTAAATAAGTGTTTTATTTATTAAGTTTAGTTAAGTAGGTTCATTAGGTTATTATAATTATTATTTTTAGTTTAACTTAATTGGTTTTCTTTTGTTTCTTTTAGGTTTTGGCGCAGCAGTAAGGAAAGAAGAGAGGGATGAAGGCTTAGGTTATATATTGGGCGTACGGCAGCAGAGACGTACGGGACGGAACGGGAAAAAAAGGGAAAAGGAGAGCTTGGGAGCGAAGCAACAGTTCGGCGAAGGAATTCAAGACTCCGTGAGGAATTTCCTAGCTTCAATCGCAGCTATCATCTTTTAGGCTTGAATTATTTTCTTCCCTACTTTATTTCTTGTTCAAATTTTCAGAATGTTATTTCTTGAACATTCCATACATTCAAATATGATTCTTGGCTAGAACTTTAATTAGTGATTTGGATTAGCCTAGATTAGATTAATTGACTATTATTCATGTGTTGATTCTTCTAATTTCAATTTAATAATTGAACTTGATTATATTTATTTTATGTATTTTAATTATGGATTGTGCGACTGGCCATTGCATAATTCTAATATTAGGGTTCATAAGAAGAACTGACAGGTGAATTATGAATCTAGAACTCGTAAGATAAACACAATTGACCTAAACTAGACATAGCTTTAGGTATTTGTGGTGATATTTGATTGTTGCTTAATGGGTTTAATTAATGTTGGTGAGATATCGACGGATGATCACAGTTAATTGGATACAACCTAGTAGCTCGACGGAGTATTAGGATATATATGGAGCAATTGTCACTATAATCATAAGAATCAATACTTAGGAGAGTTAGTCAATTATCTAATAGGTGAACCCCAAATCCCTAGTCTTCTCTTAATTGGAATTTTTCTTAACTTTAGATTCATAATTATTCTTTTTAATTACATTAATACTATTTATTTGCATTTTTCCTTATCATCAAAATTGATTATTCAAGATAACAGTTAATAGTGTTCTTCGTGGGATCGACCCTGGAATACTCCAGGAATTTATACTGTGATTGACTCTGTGCGCTTGCAGATTATAGCAATCAAGTTTTTGGCGCCGTTGCCGGGGACCACTTTATTAAACTGTTTTCCTTAAAATTTTCTTTTCAATTTTCTTTTTTTTTTATTTTATTTTTTTTAATTTTTTTTTTAGGTTGTTAGGTTCGTTATTATTTTATTTTAATTTTTATTTATTTAGTTTTTATTTTTATATTTTTATTTCGTTTGTTTATGAACTTAAGGCGTTCACTAAGGCATAAAAACGCCGAATTATTTCCTATTGATCTTGAAATTGAGCGTACTTGCAGAAAAAACAGGGTACGAAGGCGGCTTGATATGGCTGAAAATAATAGAGTGGGTCAACTGGATGACCCCGTACCACCAATAGTTCAACCTCCTCAAAATCAAGCAGCTCAACCACGTCTCGAGACATCCAAAGACCGGTAATAGATGTTAATCCTTCTTGCATTCAATTATCTGATGCAGCTAGGAATTATGAACTCAAGACTTTCCATCTGAATATGCTCCCTACCTTTAACGGTTTGGGAAGTGAAGATGCTTTGGGTTTCATGCGAGAGCTCTATAGTACGGTACAAACTTTACCTTTAAATAATTTATCTGAAGAAGAGCTTAGAATGAAATGTTTTCCATATTGCATGAGGGGTGATGCTAGGCAGTGGTTGTTAAATTTACCAGAGAGTTCTTTAAGAGCTTGGGATGATGTTTATAATGCTTTCATGTTTAAATATTATTCATCTCAAAAGACAATGGATTATAGGAGTAGGATATGCACTTTCACTCAAAGAGAGGGTGAATTATTTCATGAAGCATGGGATCGTTTTAAATTGCTTTTGACACAATGTCCACACCATCAATTCCCATTGTTATTGTTGACACAATTCTTTTATGATGGTTTAACTCCTAATTGTCAGTCTCTTGTAGATACTGCTGCAGGTGGATACACAGGTGATAAAAATAGTGATGAATTAGAAGATATCTATGAGAGCTTAGCTAGTAATTCTCAACAAAAGGCAGTGAGAGGTCGAAGAGCTGCTGTGCATGAAATTAGCACACAATCTGAGTTGATAACACAAGTGGCTGAATTGACTAAACAGATGAACTTGTTGATGACTCGTGATAGTTCGAATAGAGAATTTTGTTCTTATTGCAATACATATGGTCATAATTCTTCTGTTTGTATGAATGCAGAGTCATCACAACCATCTTATGAGGAAGCTAATTACATGGGATCCAACATGGGTAGGCAACAACCAAGAAATGATCCATTTTCTAATACATATAATCCAGGTTGGCGAAATCACCCTAACTTCTCATGGAGAGATCAAGGTAATGCAAGACCAATGGGACCACCCGGATTTCAGCAACAGGGACCATCAGGATTCCAACATCAGCAATACAGACCTTCCCAGCAGCCACCTGCAACACAACAGTCTCAACTTCCTGCTCAGGAGAAGAAGCCTCAATTGGAGGAGATGTTTATGCAATACATGGCTAGCCAGGACACTATGATGAAGAAAATGGATGCAAAAATTGATAAGTTTGCTCAGTCTAGCCAAGCATCCATTCATAATTTAGAGGTGCAAGTAGGTCAGTTGGCTAAATTGGTTGCAGAAAAAGATCGAGGTAAGTTTCCTAGTACCACTGAAATAAACCCTAGGGAAGGAGCTATGGCTGTCACATTGAGAAGTGATAAGATATTGAATGAAATTGATCAAAACCTCAATTCCTCTATAGTAAAACCTTATGTACCCCCCATTCCATATCCACAAAGGTTACAAAAGAGGAACCAGGACAATAACTTAAAAAGATTTTTAGAGGTTTTTAAAAAATTGCAAATTAATATTCCTTTTGCAGAAGCACTTGCCAATATGCCATCTTATGCCAAGTACATTAAGGAAATTGTATCTAATAAAAAGAAATTGGAAGAGTTTGCTACTGTGCACCTAAATGAGGAGTGTAGTGCTGTTTTGCAAAGCAAATTACCGCCTAAGCTAATGGATCCAGGAAGTTTTTCTATTCCTTGCACTATTGGTAATACTGTTATTGATAAATGCTTGTGTGATCTAGGTGCCAGTATTAACCTTATGCCTTTAACTCTTTTTAAGAAGTTGGAAATAGCTGAAATGAAGCCAACAACAATCTCTCTTCAACTTGCTAATAGATCAGTCAAGTACCCGCTTGGAGTAGTGGAGGATATATTGGTAAAAGTTGGTAAATTTTATTTTCCTTCTGATTTTCTGATTCTTGATATGGGTAGTGACACAGATACATCTCTTATACTTGGTAGGCCATTTTTGTTGACAGCGGAGTATTAATTGATATGCCTTTAGGGAAATTGATTTTTAGAGTAGGTAAAGAAAAAAAAAAAGAGGAATTCTCTATCTCGAAAGCTATAAAATTACCAACTTTTGATGAATCATGTCTTTTTGTTGATGTTATTGAGAAACCTTCAGAAGAAGTATTTGTTAAGCATTCACCTAGTGAAACACCACATCAACTTGAACTTAAACCACCTTCATTGCGGTTCAAATACGAATTTTTGAGTAACAATGATACTTTTCTTATGTTTTCTTATGCTCATTTACTTCATGCAAAAGAAGAGAGATTGTGGAGAACATTGACTAAAGCTTGGCATGACAAAAATTTTTTTTGGAGAGAATTCAATGTAGGGCAAGAAGTTTTGTTGTCTAATTCTTGTCTTAAGTTTTTTCTAGAGAAATTGAAGTCTAGATGGTTTGGTCCTTTCATGGTCACTAAAGTTTGTTCGTATGAGGCCATAGCGATTGCAAGAGAGAAAAAGAGACCATTCATGGTTGTTTCACCAAAAGGCAGCCCCGGAAGAAACTGGCAACTAACAGGGAAGTTTCCTGTTTATTTCATTTTCTCATACTTGCTTTTATATTTAACATTGAGGACAATGTTGAGTTTGAGTGTGGGGAAGGGACAGTAAGATTAGGGGATGTTTTATGCAAAATAGGCAATATCAAAAAAATTCTGCATTTTTCTTGCAATTTTCTGCAACATTTTCTGCATTTTCTATTTTTCTGCATTAATTTTCTGCATTTTTTCTGGAATTTTCTGCATGCATTTTTCTATTTTTCTGCACTAATTTTTTGCATTTTTATGGAATTTTCTGCATCTTTTCCTTCATTTTTCTGCAATTTCTTAGCAAATAAAGTTTAAAAAACTGCCATCTAATGACTATGTTGGTTGGGAGATAAGTTCTAGTGTTTTGGGAGTGCATAATATCAATGAATGTGTTTGGCTATATGTATGCTTGCATAGAGTTAGTAGTCAAATTCTGTCACACCGTGAGCTTTTGAGCCTAGAGGTTGCCCACTGCGACTTATTTTCATTTTGAGTGTTTATTTGCCTTATTTGATTGTGTTACTTCTAGAACTTGCTTCATACCATTTCAGAGCTACATGTTATATGATGACACGAGAATGATTTAGGCATTAGGATTTAGCCTGATAGCCTTAAAAATGACCACATCCTAGTACATGTTATTTTTCCCCTAGTGAACCATTTTGAGCTTTATAATAAATATAAGACATTTTTCTTCATTAGCCAGTTCCAAAGAACCTTAACTCATAAAAGAAGCCTCTTATTAACCCGTCCTTGGGTCAGTGGTTGTCACTATTTCATTTATCTGTGCAAGATGACCAAAAGTGATGAAGTATGGGTGAGATTGGAGTTGAAAGGTGATTGTACAATTGATTTTCTTTGAGTGAAGAATTGTTTGTGATCAAAGGGGGTGAAAATGAAAAAAAAATGAACAAAATGAGATCTATTCTAATTTTGTGGGTTGAAAAATCTTGTTAGCCCAAACTTTTGTGCTCATTTTATTCTTAAAATAATTTATGAGCAATGAAGGCATGATAGAAATTTGATGATTATGGGAAGAGTACCATTGAGGGTGATGTGGAAATGAGGAGCTATTTATTCGGTTTTACCAGAAAAAAAGGAGGAAAGAATGAAAAAAAAAATAGAAAAAAAATATGAAAAAAGATTTTGAAAGTTGTTTTGAGAGTTTATCCTTGAAAAGGATGAGGAAGAATGAAGAAATGATTGCTTGTTGTGGTAGAGTTCATTGTATTGGTAGAATACAAGTTTCTTGCTCTTGATATGGTGAAATTATGACTCTACTGATACCATGGACTTTATTTGTACTTCCTTATATCCTTTCTTTCTTAAACCACATACCCTTGACCCCGTTACAACCCAGAGATAAAGACCTTTTGACTCGTGTTGTTCATATAATTTTGGTAGTGGAGTTTTGGTGGACAAGCAAGCCTATGGCAAGTGCACGCTCAATAGAGGATGGTGTGTACCTTTCGTATATATTTATATGAGAGATTGAGTGAACAACCGTGAGGACTACTATTCTCTATTGTCTTGTGTGCATGTGACTTTGAACTCTCATGAAGTATTGTGTGTTCACCAATTCCCTTGAATTGAATGCCTAGTTGACATGATTATGGTTGGTAGTTTGATTTCATTGAATAAGTTTGCTTGGGGACAAGCAAAACCTTGAGTGTGGGAAAGTTTGATAAGCTTAATTTCTAGACATTATTTAGAGTAATTTTAGTGAGTGATTTGCATAAATAAATTAAGTTTTATGGTTAATTTTATTATAAATATTATATTTAGTTATATGTTACTAGTTTAGACTAGTTTAGATGGGTTTTAATAAATATTAGGCTAATGTTACATTTTTATTAATATAAATAAGAGTTTTAGTTTTAGCTATAGTATTAGATTTATTTGGTAGTTTATATCTTAATTTTTAAATAAGTGTTTTATTTATTAAGTTTAGTTAAGTAGGTTCATTAGGTTATTATAATTATTATTTTTAGTTTAACTTAATTGGTTTTCTTTTGTTTCTTTTAGGTTTTGGCGCAGCAGTAAGGAAAGAAGAGAGGGATGAAGGCTTAGGTTATATATTGGGCGTACGGCAGCAGAGACGTACGGGACGGAACGGGAAAAACAGGGAAAAGGAGAGCTTGGGAGCGAAGCAGCAGTTCGGCGAAGGAATTCAAGACTCCGCGAGGAATTTCCTAGCTTCAATCGCAGCTATCATCTTTTAGGCTTGAATTATTTTCTTCCCTACTTTATTTCTTGTTCAAATTTTCAGAATGTTATTTCTTGAACATTCCATACATTCGAATATGATTCTTGGCTAGAACTTTAATTAGTGATTTGGATTAGCCTAGATTAGATTAATTGACTATTATTCATGTGTTGATTCTTCTAATTTCAATTTAATAATTGAACTTGATTATATTTATTTTATGTATTTTAATTGTGGATTGTGCGACTGGCCATTGCATAATTCTAATATTAGGGTTCATAAGAAGAACTGACAGGTGAATTATGAACCTAGAACTCGTAAGATAAACACAATTGACCTAAACTAGACATAGCTTTAGGTATTTGTGGTGATATTTGATTGTTGCTTAATGGGTTTAATTAATGTTGGTGAGATATCGACGGATGATCACAGTTAATTGGATACAACCTAGTAGCTTGACGGAGTATTAGGATATATATGGAGCAATTGTCACTATAATCATAAGAATCAATACTTAGGAGAGTTAGTCAATTATCTAATAGGTGAACCCCAAATCCCTAGTCTTCTCTTAATTGGAATTTTTCTTAACTTTAGATTCATAATTATTCTTTTTAATTACATTAATACTATTTATTTGCATTTTTCCTTATCATCAAAATTGATTATTCAAGATAACAGTTAATAGTGTTCTTCGTGGGATCGACCCTGGAATACTCCAGGAATTTATACTGTGATTGACTCTGTGCGCTTGCAGATTATAGCAATCACTGGTCGGTCAAGACGCGGATGACCCGTCCCTGGAAATAAGGGGCCAGCTTCTTGGCAGCTGTGTACAAAGCATAAACGACCTTCTCCAACCGGGAATAACAGAGTTCCGGACCATGCAGCGCATGACTCACATAGTATACGGGTCGCTGAATACCTTCTTGATCTGTTCGACATAGTACGGCGCTGACCGCTCGATCGGACACGCCCAAGTAAACATCCAACTCTTCCCCTGGCTCTGGTTTGGAAAACACAATCGAGGACATCAAGTAATTTTTCAAGTCTGTGAAGGCCGATCGGCACTCATCATCCCAAGTGAATCCATTGACCTTACGCAATACCTTGAAAAAAGGCAAAGCCCGTTCCACCAGTTTAGAGAGGAATCTGCTCAAAGCTGCTAACCTGTCGGTCAACTATTGTACTTCTCGGACGGTCGTGGGTTGTTGCATATCAAGGATCGCTTTTACTTTGGCCGGATTGGGCTCAATCCCTCGTTGGGTCATCATATAGCCCAAAAACTTTCCCGTTTGAACTGCAAATGTATACTTAGTAGGGTTTAGACGTAATTGATACGTCCGCATGATCTGAAAACACCGTCGAAGATCCTGAGTATGATCTACTCGGTCTCGGCTCTTAACTAGCATATCGTCAATGTATGCCTGCATGGTTCGGCCCAGCAGGTCTTCAAACAGCATGTTGATCATTCGCTGATACGTGGCCCTCGCGTTTCGCAGACCGAACGGTATAACTCGATAGCAATACAAGCCATCGGGCGTGAAGAACGACGTCTTACTCTCATCCTCATGACTCATCATGATCTGGTGATAACCCTTAAAGGCATCCTTAAAGCTCATCAATTCCGCCCCGGCCGTTTCATCCATCATCTGATGAATGCTCGGTAATGGATAGGGGTCCAAAGGGCACGCTTTGTTCAAGTCAATGACACATCCTCCAAGATGGTGGCTTGGGAACCAGTACTATGTTGGCCACCCATTCGGGATAGGTGACCGGGCGGATATGTCCGATTGCTGCCATCTTTTTTACTTCCTCTCGTACAAACTACCTACGGTCCGAGAACAAGTGCCTGGTCTTTTGCTTGATCGGCTTCGCGGCAGGATCCACGGCCAGTCGATGGCATATCACAGTGCGGTCAATTCTGGGCATGTCCTCCGGGCCCCACGCAAATATATCAGCGAATTCCCGAAGGATAGCCAAGACCTCTAGTCGAAGCTCGGGGGTCAGGGCTCGACCGATCTTGACCTTCCATTCAGGTCGGTCTTCTGACAAGGGGACCTCTTCTATTTCTTCAGAGGGCTCGGGCTACTCCTTTCGGTCTTTTGCGGCATCTTTAGTGATGGTATTCACTCCTGAAGAGCCTGCGTCTCGCCGGTTGACCGCTCGGGAATAACACTTTCTGGCTGACTGGGCATCGCCGCGCAACACTCCGACCCCGGCCGAGGTGGGGAACTTCATGCAGAGATGGGGCATGGATATAATTCCCCAGACCCTCATGATTGTCGGGCAGCCCAGGATATCATTATGGACGCAACGAAGGTTGACCACGACAAACTCCATCTGCGTCTTAACCGATTTAGGAGGAGTCCCCAATTCAACCGGGAGGATAATTTTTCCTTCGGGGTGGATAGTGTCCCCGGTAAATCCAGACAAAGGCGCTCCGACCGGAGTCAACTCTCGGCGATCGAGCTTTAACTTCTCAAAAACGTCCAGGTAAAGGACGTTCACGCTGATCCTAGTGTCAACCATCACCCTCTGTACATCCACTCCCATGATATCAATCGTCACTACCAGAGCCTCCATCCCCGTATCCCCGGCCTCGGGCTGATCCTCTAACGCAAAGGTGATTGGTTCCATCTTTTGCCGCTTACCGGTCTCGCGGGATTCCACAACTGCGACCGGGAAAGGCTCTTGGGCTTGAGACGCATCTTCCAAACCCCCAAATATTACGTGGATGGTCGGCTTAGATGTTTGGTGACCGTCAGACTTGGGATCGGGATCTCTCTGGTCATAGTCCGACCGTTCAGATCGTTCGAAACGCCGATGGTCTCTTTTCCCGGTTGATCTTTTGTTCTCTTCCCTTTTTCCCAAGCATTTGTCCAGCTTACCGGCTTGAAGTAGGTCTTCTAACAACTGTCTCAAAGTTGTACATTCTTCAGTATCATGCCTGCTGCATCGGTGATAAGCGCAATGCTTTGTCTTGTCCTTCCCTTCCTGTCCAGGACGTGGTAATCGAATGAGATTACATGATTGTGTATACTGCAAGGCTTCCGCGGCCAAACGGTTCAAAGCCGTGAAATCCTCCGGACGCGTTCGGGATCGGTGGTGCTCTGCCGACCGATTATCCGATCGTCCGGGGGGCTTGCGGGATGAACCGACTTCCTGAGACCGTTTGACAGCGTTGGCTTCCCCGGCATTGGCATAGTCTGTCACTCGACAAAGTGGTTCTTCATACGTCGTCGGCGGATGAAGTATAAAGTCTTGATATAAATATCCACCTCTCAGGGAAATGTGCAACATATGGATTGCGGTCAAATCATCCATGGGCTCGACCTCTCTTACGACCGCTTTCCATTTAACCAAAAAGTCGGTCAATGTCTCCCCCTCCAACTGCTTAGCCTTCTCCAAGTACATGTAAGGCTTCCGTATGATTTTCGAGGTTACAAACTTTCGAGTGAACTTAGTCGCCAAGTTGGCAAAACAAGAAATAAATCCTGGGTCCAACGTTCTAAACTACTCGGCTGCTCGTCCCGATAATGTCGAGTAGAAAGCTCGACACATCACAGCGTCACTCACACCCATCATCAGCATGTTTTCGTAATAGGTATTGACGTGGACCTCCGGGTCTGTTCGTCCATCGTATTCCTTATTACTGGGAATGCGCAGGTCGAGCGGATACGGCTAAGCCAAAATCTCGGTCGTGAAAGGGGTTCGCAATAATGAAGCGGTGGGAACCGAAGGCCCTGAAGCATGCTCACGCCGCCACCGAGTGAATTCTGCGCGTAGCTCGTTCACCATTCCCCGTGTGTTATCTTGCTCGGCCGTTCGGGTTTGCTCACGGGCTCGACGGCGACGATGTACGTGAGGTCCACTGTTTCCTGATGATTCCGCTTGACTGGCCGCGTGCATAGGTGAGTCAACCGACCGCCTATCCGGGTCTTGTGGTCCCAGTCATTGACGCATTGCTGGTCGAAGACGCTCAAACGCGCTCGCGCGATTGTCTTGTGGCTCAGGTTCATCTGCCGCCTGGACATTTGTTTCCTGCCGTGGTTCCTCCGGGGCTTCTGCCCCATGCGATCCCAACCTCGAGCGAGCCGAGCGCCAAGTCCGGGGACCGGGCTGAAGCTTGGACTCGGTCTGCATTACTGGTTGGTTCGGGGGAGCAAAAGCTGGAGCCGTGTACGCAGGCCTATAAGGTTGATAGTTACTCGGCGGATAGTACATTGGGGTCCCGGGCCAATAACCATACTGAGCGGGTGGTGCTGGATGTGGGAAATATCCTGAGTACGGGAATTGCTGACCAGGTGGCGGATACATCGGTTGGACATAATTGACCGGATTAGGAGCTACCGAGTGAGGGGGTGAGAGGTTGAGGTTGAGCTCGACGGTTGGACCATACTGGGTGTGATGGTCGGAAGAGTTGTCCGCATCCTCCTGTATATCTTGCATGTATGGATACATGTTTTTGGGATGTAGGCACTTCGTCGTTCGTGACTAATTGTACCGTTTCCCACAGACGGCGCCAAAATGATAGTGTAAATACACGGGTGACCTAATACAATCTAAATGACTACTCCGAGGGCCGACTGACTGCGGTCGGGCTGCTCTGTAAGTAGCCTCTTAATCGTTCCAAAAGTCCCCTTCGCCTTATCCGCCGTGGATATTTATAGCCCATCGCTGGGAACAACCTCCGGCCTATCGACATGTACTCCACGCAGCATCCACGTGCCAAAACCTGGTGGTCACTCTCTGTCGACGCCTGGTGCTGCCACGTGCCCCTCTCCAGCGATACCGCTTCCATGTGGAGCAAAGGTATGGCGGTCGAGCAGAACACCGGTCGGGAGGTGAATCAGCCGGGCAAACTCGAATGCCTCTAAGTAAAAAAGGTCAGCACAAGGTTACATGGACGGCCGGTACCGACCGCCTTCTCGCTGCAGCGCTCTGGCAAAGGAACTGTACTGAATGATGCGGAGAACAAACTAGGTCGGTCAGGATATATCCTACCATATATATATAGATTTTGAATCCAGTGAGACCACCCCCATCAGGTGAGATCATGAGATCCCATCTCATCCATTGATAAAGTTTCAATTGATGGATAGGATTGAAAGTCAAACAACAATTAAATAAGGATAGATTTGAAAGACAAAGACGAAAGAGTAATTGTATTATGGTTTTTAATTTTGGTTATATTTAAAATAGAATCTTACCAGAATATTAGGGAACCTATCAATAATAATATTTAATTATATTTTGTACATTAGTAATTTTAAATTATTGGGAATTTTACGGTGGTGTGTGCGTGGGTGTGGAATGGTGTGTGCGCTTTACTGTAACATGGCTCGTACACCATGGCGTGCTGGTTTTTTTTCATAAAATTATGCATTTCGTGATACAGGCATGTACATTTTGGTTTGTGTGTTACTAGTTTCGGGCGTGTGCGAAACGTATCCAAAAGAAAACAAAAATATACGAATCTAATTTGGGTATCGGCGTTTGAATTTCGAGTAGATAATCAGTGCGTAGTAGATATATTATTGGGCTTGTTGTGTTTTTTTTTTTTTTTTTTTTTTTTAAATTGTGGAAAATTTTACGGTGGTGTGTGCGCGGGTGTGGAATGTCGTGTGCGATTTCTGTAACAGGCCATGGCAAAATATAAAATGCACACACCATTCCACACCCACGTACACACCACCGTAAAATTCTCCATAATTTAAAATTTCAGATGTACAAAATATAATAATTATTACTATTGATAGAGTCCCTAATAATTTAAAATATCAATTTCCATTCATAATCTCCCTAATATAATGCTTAAGATTCCAACTGAATTATATCCATAATTAAACATATATCTACAATTACTATTTTATCCTTTTGATTTCAATATATCATTAATTACTTTCACAATCTCTTATAATCTCAACCATTCATGGAAAATGAATCAATGAATATAGTGAGATCTCATGATCTCATCTAGTATAGGGGTTGCACTAGATTCGAATCCTATATATAGCTTCCTAAATCTACTGAAGCGAGGAATACTAGGATCAAATGCAAGGTGCTGCCTGGTGAAAAATATTGTTAAATTTCAGTCATTAATCTAGTAAAGATCAGCACCCCAGAGTAAAGGAAAATTTTTTACAAAAAATGCGATGTCATTTTGATAATTTGTTGTGTTTTTGCATTCTATTCAAATCCTTAAAATCATAATAATATGCACTCAAAGGCATAGCAATGTGCACATGAAATGATAAAATGTGCAATTGAAGATAAAATATTATGCACACAGGCACAACATTATGTACTCCAAGGCAGAACTACATTTAGTAGGTTCTATAACATTTTGTACCATATTTCATTCTCAAAACATTATAATAAATATGTTTTTTGTATATTTGTTTCATTAGCCAAAAATATGCAATGGATTGCTAAAAATTATGCACTAGAACTCTAGAAGGCATAAAGTTGTTCACTACAAAGCATAACAATATGCAATGGAATTGTGTTTTTGCATTCTATTCAAATCTTTGAAGGAACAACAATGTGCATTGGAAGACAAAACAGTATGCACTCGAATGCATAACAATGTACACTCGAAGGTCAAAAATTGGAATGGAATTCTTTGTGAAAATTAAAAATTAGTTGTCCCAAACAATATGATCTATTGGTCAGCTTCCAACTCAAAGGCTAAGAAGTGTAGAATTCTTTTACCTAGGAGTTCATTCCCAAAACAATATAATAAATATATTCTATGTAGATTCGTTTCATTAGTCAGATAATATGCATTGGAAGGCATAAAATTAATTGTGCACTTGAAGGCACAATATTGTGCAATGGAAGGCATAATTTTAGAACCATAATTTTTGGACTAAGGTTCACAATACAATTTAAACCCTGCTCCGTGATATAACAATAGATTTAATTCCAGCTATGTCCCCCGAGTATGGTGATTTTCCACAATTAGTGCTCGACTTTTAATTTTGACAATTTAACCACCTGACTATCAAAATCTTTCCAATTGTGGTCTTTCCGTCAAATCCTGGTTAAGTGGGTGTTAATTTGAAGGGTAAAAGCGTCATTTCCCCTAATGATGATATATTTCACCTTCATTCCCGTCTGAATTATTATGTCCATGCCGGAAACGCTGCATTTCTTGACGAGAAATCCCGGGGAACATGGCCGGCATCCCTTCCTCTTTACTATCGTCGTTCCTTCCATCTTCTACCTCTTCTCCGGCGACACGACCATGGACCTCCGTCACTTTCCTCCTCCCTCCTCACGCCCTCGCTTCTCCCTCCCTCTTCCATCTTCTCTTCGTCGACGGGTCAGCAAGCAGACCACATGGACTGCGTTGCTGGGCGGTAATGACAGTAGATGGTGGCGATCGTCTGTAATGGTTGCTATCCGGTGTAACGGCGCGGTGGTGGAGACCACAGGCGGGATTTTTCATTCTTGGATGTTCATCAACTTCAGCATCACCTACTGCAAGTAAGTGCATTTTGCATTCTTGTCATGACTCAAGTTTGGATTTTTATTGTTTTTTTTTTCATTTGTTTTACGTATGTATGCAGAAGTGGTATGTGGGGTTGTTACGAATGTTGTCGCTGCTCTTTTCAAATGGTTAGTGTCGCTACAATCTGAGATGGAACCAGGTGAGAAGAGAAGCCTTTTAAGAATTTCCCCTTTTGTCTGTTTGTTCTGTGTAGCAGTCATTAAAGATCTGGTTTCCCTTGCCTTTCAAAGCTTTTTCCAGGAATAAATTTGAGAAAGGATACAATATTGAAACTATCTTTGATGAAAACAAATTGGGAGTTGAGTCATACTCTGTGGAGGATTCGTCGGCCGGAGAGGTCTTCATTTTAGATTTTGAAAACAACAACATTTACAAGATCACAACACTATAGAATTTGTTTATACACTTTACGGATGTGTAGCCATATAAGTTGTTTACGCCTATTTCTCCGCTTTGGTCCTCTTTTATATATATATATATATATATATATATATATATATATATATATATATATAAGGGAAGGGATCAGGTGCGGGTGCTGTTTCCCGTGCGGTTGTGCGGGTGGACGCATTAAGCATTACACTGGCGCACTTTAAGTACCACTACACACGCAAATTAAACACACAAACAAAATACATTCAGAACACAAACTCATGCACCTTAAGCACAAAAGTCACGCATCTTAAGCACACCCCTCACGCACCTTAAGCACAAAACTCACGCACCTTAAGCACAAAAACACACGCACCTTAAGTTTTAACAACTCACATTAAGTACACACTCACGCACATTAAGTAAAAAACTCACGCACCTTAAGCACAAGACTCACGCACCTTAAGCACAAAACTCACGCACATTAAGCACAAAACTCATGCACTTTAAAGTTTCAACAACAACTTACATTAAGTACACACTCACGCACATTAAGCACAAAACTCACGAACATTAAGCACACGACTCACGCACCTTAAATACAAAACTCACGCACATTAAATATTACACACTCACTTACATTAAGCACAAACCTCACGAACCTTAAGCACAATACTTACGTACATTAAGTACAAAACTCGCACACATAAATCACCCGCACAACCGCACGGGAAACCTTCACCCGCACTGGAACTTAAACCTATATATATATATATATATATATATATATATATATATATATATATATATATATATATATATATATATACACACACACACACACACACACACACACACTTGCCTGTAAAGGCCAGGAATCATTGGGCTCTCCGAGTCTCCAGAGACGGAGAGCCAAATTTCTGTAACTTTCTCTTTACAAATCACAAAGATCATAAATTTAGTTTATTTTCCGATTGCTTTCTTCTGTTTTTTTTGGGGGATTGTCAATTGAACATGGCCGTTGAGAATGCCACTCCGAAAGATGCAGGCGATAATGATGATTTTGAGGAACTGGTGTTACAGAGAGGGGGTTGTTGTTTCTAGCTTCCGTGTTTCGGCCGGCGCCTTGGAGCGTATCCCGACGTCGGAGAGCCATAAAGAGGATTGGTTGGCCAAGATTACGAGTTCACTAAGGGAAAGTACAGTTTTACCCCTAAAATAGACGTCCACTTAACCATGCATTGACAGAAGGACCTCAATTGGAAAGAATTTGACAATCAGATGGTTAAATTGTTCAAATTAAAAGTTGAGGACCAATTTTGAAAAATCATCATACTCGGAGGACTATTGTTGGAATTAACTCTATAACAATACTAACCTTGAGCTTGAGAGTAACTGAATGACTTCACAGTTTCGAGTGACTTTTTAAAGGGAGAAAACTACTCAGGTCCAATCTTATTGGGAAAAATCTATTAAATATTGTAAATTTATTAAATTTATTTTATTCAACTTAAATAAAAAAAAAATATTGTACTTGAACATAAATTTAACTAAATAACCATTGATTCACAGGAAAGCCAGCAACCACTACATGAATGTGCTTTCTATAATTCTATGTGAAGCTCACTATGAGACGACCTTTGTCGATAAAGGACTACAAAGAGGTAAATCAGTTTGAATTTCTCATAACTGACGGCTCAAACCAAGCTTGCCAATAGACAACTCCTCCCATGGAGAATCGAACTTCGAAACTTGTGATTACCAAACCAATTTGACCTAGGTTAACTAAATAACATTAATTTCATGGTCGGTGTCATTTTAGTAAATATTGTTAGAATATTTATTATTAATATTTTACTATAATGTATATATGATCCAGTAATAGGTCATATTGTGAATTTGTGATAGCTAGATAACTAGAATTTGAGTTGTACTAAGGCTTTGTGTTTCCTAATCCCTCCAACTGGTCAGAATATATGACTTAAATACACACACAAACACAAACATTCATCTGCTGGCTTATGTGTTCCTGCCAATTGTATTATCTATTAATTCTATTATCTACCCCAAGTGAATTTTTAAATTTATATCTTTTGCCATAATTAAATATTCTTACTAAATCCCGGAACGGTCATGAACTCAAGTAATTCTTTTGTGAGTTTTTGGACAGCAAGATGTTAATATATAAAACATGAATGTATACATAGTCTAACTATTCATTTAGACTTTTAATTAAAGATTTTACACATTCAACTATTAACTTAGACTTTTAGTTAAGACAAAATACTTCTTTTAATTGGCACTTGATACTTGGTAGTATTGCAAATGCAGGATTCATAGAACTAGTTTGCATAGTTTCTTAATGATTCATACAACATTAAAATACAATTTCTTTTATTTTTTTAACATTTCGCAATTAATTTGCTTATGAACAAATGTCTACTTTGTTGGGAGAATCACTTAAGCCTATTGACATTTCTTCATAATGAACTCACACGGCTTGGAAATTTAATTCACGTATGTCGGATTTGTACTCGAGAATATCACCATTGCCTTCAAGCATGCTAACAACGGTAGACATAGATGGCCTAAAGACTGGTGAAGAATTAGTACATAGCAAAGCTACTTCGAGCATTCTGAGTGCTTGTTCTTTGTCAAAATCGGAACCCAATCTTGGATCTATTAGCTCCATTAGGTTTCCTTTTTCTTGAAGAACAAGTGCCTAAAAGTTTTGTATAAATACAACAAAGCACAGGCAAAGTATAAGAATAGGCCACTTAATTTGAAAGGTATGCAATCTATGAATTATGATGAGTTTGGTAGTATATTTGTATCTCACCCAATCAAGGAGGCAAACGTAGTCATCGGGGCGGAATTTCATGTTGTTCTTCCCAGCAACAATTTCTAGCGCCACCACTCCGAAACTATAGACATCAGCTTTGAATGTTAAGTAGCCCCACAATGCATATTCAGGAGCCGTGTATCCTCTACAGCGGAATAAAAGAAGAGTAAATGTTTCTTTCAACCATAAGCTGATTTGGAATACAAAATGGATGACACATTGTAATAACATCTTACATTGTCCCAGCAACTCTTGTACTGATGTGTGACTTCTCATCATCGTCAAGTTTAGCTAAACCAAAGTCAGAAATTTTTGGATTGAGTTCCTTGTCAAGAAGCACATTGGCGGTTTTAATGTCTCTATGAACAACTTTTATTGTTGATTCTTCATGCAGGAAAGCTAATCCTTTTGCAATACCGACACAAATTCTTTGTCTAGTAGCCCAATCTATTTTCAGTTGTCGATCTTCTGGACCTGTAATTAACTCTTTACTCAGAATACTTATGTTTATCTTGATAAAATAAACTAAATCATCATGTTTCTAGTAGCATACCTTATATATACATATGGAAATTAAAATTAATGTCTTTGTTTAGATTGTTGGCTGATATTTTTTATTGTGACTAGCAGCTGAAATAATTAAGATTCGAAATTTAATTTACCAAAAAGAGCATTGGCAAGGCTATTGTTTTCCATGTACTGGTACACCAGCAGCAACGGCTTTCTTTCTACACAACACCCATAAAGTTTCACAAGGTTGGGGTGCTGCAAACATGAAATCATGCCTATTTCATTCAAAAATTCACGGTATCCTTGTCTTGATTTAGATGAGAGTTGTTTCACACTAAGCGAGTTGTTCATTAGATACCTAATTAAGAAGCGAGTAATATTGAATTCATCATTAAAAAAAGGGAAATTGTAAAAAAATGCCTCTATAATATGCCAATTATCAATGTCACCCCTGAATTATTAGTGGTGTAAATATTGTCCCTCAATTATCAAAATGGTGCATATATAGCCCTTCCCGTAACGGACTTGTGGTTCCCCATCGCTGGTACTTCGAATCGAGGGAGGGAAAAAACAACTAAATTAATATTTACTCCAACTTAACGGTGTCGTACACTAACGGGGAACTTGTCCGTTACGGGAGGGGCTATATGTGCACCGTTTTGATAATTGAGGGGCAACATTTACACCACTCATAATTCAGGGGTAACATTGATATAAACAAAATGTTAACTCACAGTTCTCTCAAGCTTGTCGATACAGAAATATTTTGAGGTATGGGTCCTTCAAAACCACTTGCTTGAAGCTCTCTGCCAATCATATATATATATATATATATATATATATATATATATATATATGCTTGTCAATCATAAATGATTTCAATTTTAAAGTGTTAGATTCGAACGCTTACAGGATTTGAAGGTTTTTCAAACTCGGAAAGCTAGGCAGTTTCCCAGTGAAGTTATTATTGCTGAGCCTACTGCATTGATGAACACGACAGGTGAGCTTAAAGTGTAGAAGAAACACGAAAAGAGCTTAGGAATATGGATGATGATTCCCTTACAGTTCTATCAGTTCTGTGAGAGCATTAAATTCTTTTGGCAATTCACCTGTGAGATAATTACCACTAAGAATGCTACAGAAAGAATCAGACAAGTGAGAATTAAACAAAAAATATAAATTCAGCCCATATATGATGAGAAAGATTGTTTTATTTAATTTGATTAACAAAGGCTTACAAGTGTTGTAAGTTGACAAGCTTCCCAAGCTCAGGTGGAACACTTCCAGTGAACATATTGTTCTCCAAGCTTCTGAAAGTTTATTTAGTTTGATGTTAGAACAAAACACAAGCAATAAGTTCCCATAATAAAAAGTTAAACGAAAGTTTAATTTAGTTGTGTAAATAGAGTGATAGGAGCAAGAGAACATACAAATATGTAAGAGATGTTATATTTCCCAAGTATTTTGGAATTGGTCCAGACAATCGATTCACAGTAAGAGATCTGCAAATTTTCACTTCTTTAGCATGGACAAGCAGATAGATGGCTTAAATTTATATAGCTTAGGTTATAATACACAACACAACTTACATAAATTCCAGTTTCATAGAAGCCCATTCAGGGGGGATTGTACCACTTAAGTAGTTGCGGGCGAGATCACTGCACAAAATACAACTAATAATCAAGCAAAGGATATCAACAAGAGGTGATTATTGCATAAATGTAGAAAGTGAGTGTTGGCACATTGTCTTGAGAAATGGTAACTTCACCAAGGCAGGAGGGAGGACACCTTGCAGATCCTGTCCTTTCAAATTTCTGTTTACACAACCATATAGAGAGACTATTAGAAACATGCGGGATGTGCTGTCCCGAAATTGGATAATCCAATATAATAATAGTAAGGTGTACATTGAATAAATTTGGTCTTAACGAATAAGTCGGTGGTTACCAAGTCAACAATATGACCAAGCGATTCTCATACTTAAATAGTCACGAGTTCTTTAATTCATCAATCTCATTCTTTTATTGTTTTTCTCACCATAATAACTTTTATATAAAAATAATAATAATAATTTTAATGTAGTAAATTAATACTTTTAAAATAAAGCATATTGCTTTTATTTTTTGGAAGAAAGGCATATTGCTTTTATATTACTTCCTATGTCTACTATTCATTGGTCAAACAATTATTTCTTTTTTTGCTTAATTTCATTAGTATTTTCTTATAATTTTTAAATTTGATGTTTTGTGTCTAATAGTACTTTTAATGTAGTTTCTAAATATATAAATTTTATATATGAATTCTAAATATTATTAAAAATTGAACTGTAAATAACTTCAATTAAACTTTATTATTGGAATCATACACATAAAACGAAACAGAAAAAAAAAAATCAAAACTAATGCTCATCCAATAATGCGTCGTTATATGGTTTAACGACGGATTTGGCCTGTTTAGCAACGGAAATTGTCCGTCGCTATTTTCGTGTTTTTTTGTAGTGATGGTGGATCAAGCTTCTGCCTTAATTGCTCTTTTAAAACAACCCAACTCAATTTGTTGGTCGAGCTCATATCCATTTCTTAGACATCTCACATATTAAGATGTATAAGATGATCATGTTTTTTTGTGTTCATTTAATTATTAATTCATTCGAAAAGAACTTTTTGTATTTGAACATTTGCATCAAAGGATTCATGGCAATATGAATACCTAGATAAGATTCGACCTCCCATCAAACATGTATATTATGGACTAAGATCCCGGCCGGGTCCATACGACAATTTGGACCCGCTGAGTAAAATGGATATTTTTCTTTGAGTACTATTGACCAATTGTTATATAGTGCACCAGGGCGCACAATGCCAAACATTATGCCGTGTAACCATGTGCACCATGCATAGTGCATACGGTTGCGAACGACGGTGTTTCACTATGGTGGAGTAACGGTGTCGTTAGTGACACCGTTTAACTCCACCAATCAAAAAAAATAAAAATTTTAAACTCCAATCGACGGGATTTTCACCATTTTTAGTGTGAATATATAATTCACTAATTCTGGATATATAGTTCACTAATTATAGATATATAGTTCATTAGATTTTGATACATAGTTTACTAATTCTAGATTTATAATTCATTAATTCTGAATATATAGTTCACTAATTCTGAATTTATAGTTCATTAATTCTGAATATATAGTTCATTCATTTTGTGTAGAATACACAGACGCAGCGAACTGTCATAAGCCAAAACAGAATACCAGTTAGTTACCTGTGTGGATATATAGTTCACTAATTCTGGATATATAGTTCATTAATTCTGGATATATAGCACAACATAACGCCGTTAACGGCAATCGAAAATATTTTATGATTATGCCGAACGCGTCGTTTTTAATCAAAACGCCGCCGTTTTTGCAACCGTGTGCACCAAGCATGGTGCACAAGGTTGCACGGCATAATTTGCCGCACAATGCATTGTGCGCCCTAAAAATCTCATTTTCCGTATGTATATAATTGTATAGTGTAGAATACACATAAACTCCTAACATAATACACATAATCTATCATAATACATAATACACATAAACTCTTAATATAATACACATAAACTCTTAACATAATTCACATAAACTTTTAATATAATACACATAAACTGTTAACATAATACACATAAACTCTCAGGGCGCACAATGCATTGTTCATCCTGGTGCACGATATACTTTGCCACTATTGACTCTGTTACATGTAGTATCTATTCATATACTTTCTCAACCAACTGAAGCCCAACCCATGACCTCCCATCAGGGAGAGTCACTTCATGCCACTTGACCACAAGGTCTTTGGCGAGTAAAATGGATTTAAAATGTCAAAATATATGAAACAATTTATAACTTTCATCTTCTATGTTTTTTTTTCAACTTGAACTTATTATCCTTGATGGTTTTATTGGAATCGGGTCCACCATAAACTGAGTATAGAGGTACAGAACAGGGAGAGGCCCAAAGAATTGGCTAGTAATAATAATGTTAGTGACAAGAGTCAAACCTAAGAGATAGGGTTGAGAGCGTATACCAGAGACCGCTAAGCTAAGGTGCTTGTAGTGCCAAAGACATGATGTCCCAAGAAGAGACAAGGCACTCCTATTTATAGTAGAACCCCCTATCACTGCACTATCCACGTGTACGGCTCTTGTTCCGCCTTCCTCACCATCCTCCACGTGTCCCACATCCACATGCCCACGCACCATGCCGCAACCCCCCCCCCCCCCCCTTTCTCTCTCACCACCAGCGCACCGAGGGCGCTGGACACGTGCTGACTGGGGGAAGCCAGCGCCATAACCGGTGGCCTCCTCCGACCGGCCACCTATCAACGACGGCACTTGCTTCCTTGCGCCGAGCGCTAGGGGGGGCGCCTGGGCGCAAGCTTCCTTATTAATAACGATATTTTGGATTCTAAGTACATAAGTTTAAAGTTTAAGGTGCATGAATTTAATTCTTAAGTTGCACAACTTTTTCCTTATGAATAACGACTTCTAAACTTGCATAACTTTTTTTCTTATAAATAATGCCTTTTTTGGATTCTAGGTGTATAAGTTTAAAGGTTAAGGCTTTTTTCTTATAAATAACGACTTTTTGAATTCTAGGTGCATAAGTTTAAAGATTAAATGCATTACTTTCCAGCTTAAGGTGCACATCAATTCTTTGATATATTCCCAATTCTTGAACACATACTTATGACCTCGGTCCATGCTACAACATGCACCCAGGTCCATATATAATACAATTTGCCTCAATCAACATATTAATAACTTTTTGAACATTAACAAGACATATACAAGAATAAACACTGCACATCTAACTCCATTCTTAACTATAACAATAGATTTCATAGTTATGAAACTTTAAACTAATTACAAACAACCAAGTACCTTGTGGTCCAATGATACCAAGTTGAACTCTTAAGTGAGAGGTTATAAGTTTGAAACAAAACAGTTACCAAAGACACTTCAAATAATAATAATTAACTGTTACATGATCCACCCCAAACTCACAGTTACCAAAGACACTTCAAATAATAAACTGTTACATGATCCACCCCAAACTCCTCTACCTGGTGCCATCCCTCCCTAATTGCTTTTTATACGGTTTTTAATAAGTGATAGTTATGTTCAATTTTGGATAGATGACAATATTTTGAGGCAAACTAAAAAGGAAAGTAAGACACATAAAATGGGACGGAGGGAGTAGTATATTGAGATATGAAGTTGGGTAGAAGGAATAGCTTACATCCTTAGCACATGGCAAATACCAGCAGGAAAGTTACAATCGCAAGTGAGATTATTAGTGTATAGAGGTGTATCTAAGCTTTGTGGTGCCAACCAGTTGGAGTTGTTGCCACAAGGATTTAGGCTAAAATCCCAATCCTTCTTCCCCACTTGATTAGCTATTTCCGGCAATTTATATCTTACACCACGGTGCGCGTTGCACTATGCGCCCAGATGCAAAACGACGCCGTTTTAATTATTTTTTTAAAAAAAATTTCCCGTCCCAGTGAATAGCAGTAGTTTTTTCTTAAAAAAAAGGGAGAAGTGTCAAATAGACCCATCTACTATTGCGAGGTGCTCAATTCACCCCACGAACTAAAATATAGTGTAATCAGCCACACTTACCAGCCAAATTTGTTCAATTAGCCTTTTTCGCAGGTTACCACCCCATTTGTGATGACGTGTCCCAGTTACACTTAGGTGGCTTGTTTACATGGCAAAAAAAAAAAAAAAAAAAAAAAAAAAAAACTCATCAATCAAGCCTGAAATTTAGGCAGAAATCTTCAATTTGCCTTCGACACCATTCAAGAAATTGGAGAAGCCATTGACGACCTGGTTATTACTTCTTCGAGCACCAGAGTACTCCATTCCTCACCTTTGATTGACACAATCGACATTCCTTCGAATTTCCTCACAATCACCTCATATTCGCCTACAATAATCCTCGATTTTCCTATCTCGCTCACTTGATTTCCAGAAATTGATTGTCGATCGTGGAAAATCTGCCTTGCATGTGGCCTATTCTGTCTTAGATCGAGATATGTATATTGATGTTAATAGCCTTGGCAAACCCTAGAAGATTGGGGGAGAAATGGTAACCTGATGGAGGAATCAGAAATAGAGTATTGTTGCTCAACTGCTGGTTGTCGATGGTGGGGGTGATGACTGTGAGACGAACAAGCGGTGGCGGCCTTCCGGGGCGGTGAGTAAGCTCTTCTAGAAGCGTCGGCCATTGGAATCCATGGGAAACTTCGAACGGCGAATGGCGAACGGTAAACGAGGAATCGGAACCTGCGGCCAACCGGTGGTTGGCGTTAATATCCTAGGCTATATCAATTACCAATTTCACACAGCAGCACAAATTTTCCAAAATGAGTTGGGAATACAGAAGGAACAAAAACACCAAATCAGAGAGAGTAAACACCATGAATTTACTGAATTCAAATGGGCAAAGATCAAATCAACAAAATCTGCAGGCACGTGATTTTGAGGTTTTAGAAGAGAAATGCAAATCCCCCACTACTGAGAATGGGGAATTAAGCAATTCGAGTCCAATCGCGCGATGTCTCTGCTGACTTCCGATCGCCCAATTCGAGCGACGTCAGTGAAGGTGAAAACGGAGCAATTATGGTGGGTGCGTTGATGATGAAGACGGTGGACGGTGGACGGTGGTGGAGGTTGACTGGGATGAAGGCAGGGGTGGTGGAGGTTGATTGGGACAAAGGCATTGCCATGTCATTAAATGTATTTCCAGGTCAACCTAGGTGGATGGGCAACCGGATACTAACTTGGAAAAAAAGCTAATTCAACAATTTTAAGAAGTTAACATGGCTAATTACACTATATTCTAGTTCGTGGGGAGAATTGAACACTTCACAATAATAGATGGATCTATTTGACACTTCTCCCTAAAAAAAAAAACCCGATGTTCAAGAATGTACATAATGTTATACTAGAATACACATAATGTTATACATGAATGTACATAATTATATAACAAAATATACATACTCTTTTTAAAAGATAATACACATAATCTAACATAATACATAATAAACATAAACTTTTAACATAATACACATCAACTCTTAACATAATACACACAAATTTTCTGATTCGGATGTACATAATTGTATAAAAAGAATGTACATAATTGTATAAAAAATACACATAACTGTATGAACCAATACACATAACGTTGTGAACAAATACACATAACGTTGTGAACAAATACACATAATCTCAGCAACTTCCTACCGCGCCTCCCAACACTACCCAAAACGACGTCGTTTTGGGAGACGCGCGGCGCACAGTGCTATGTGCGCCGTGGTGTAGGATATAACGATTGGCTATTTCCTTAAGTGCAATTACTTCCATATACATTCAACAAAAGCTACTTGTTAATAAATATGTAATTTGCATGTAATTTCATAATCACCCAGAAAACAACAGAGAGATGAGGCTCACATTCATCTTGAGGAAGATGCCCACTCTGCGCTTCAAGAAATATTGGATAGGAGAAGGAGAGTATAATTGGTACGAGGATTGTGAACATGGAGGCTGACATTGTTGAACTCTGGGGAAGATCAGTTGCAGTGTTTTTTTAATAGACTGAATTGTCAATGAATAATTTTTATAGACTCTGTGTGTGTCATTATGAGTGTTGTACAATAGTACAATGAATCATTTCATAACATGTCCCTCATTGGTCAAAGGAAAATGTTATATATACCTCTATTTTTATTCATAACTTTTACTCATATACACAAAATCTTGATCTAAACACTTGTCTTGGGACTCATATGAAAAAGTAATCTATCATAGCACCTCATATCAGGAGCAAGATTTGGAAGTACATGTAGTAAAATTTTTGCTCAAATAGATCACTTAACTACACATAAATATACAATTAGATCATCAACTCAAAAAAGATACAATTAAATTCATAAACCACATAAAATTGTGCAATTAAATCCAAATTGACATGTTTGACCGGTCATTGCTGATGTGACGGTTACTTTATTTAAAAATAATAATTTTTTTAAAAAAATTTACATTTAAATTATATATATAAAAAAATCTGATGCAAAGGGAATTGTTATACCATAGACCAGGGTTCATATTATATTGTGAACCCTGGTCCAAAAATTGTGTCCGCATTAACACATTTTGTACCTGTAAACAAATTGAAGGCACATCGTCTAGGGTTGTTAACGAACGGAACATAAACGAACGAAGGTTGTTCGTATTCGTTTGTTAAGGTTTTTTGGGTGTTTGTGTTCGTGTTCGTTTGCTAAGGTTTTTTAAAATCCTGTTCGTGTTCGTTTGTTAAGCGTTCATTAGTGTTTGTTAACATTCGCGAACACGTTCACGAACATGTTCGTTAACATTAAGTCATTAACAAACATGTTCACGAACATTTTCGTTAACATTAACAAACACGTTCACGAACATGTATGTTAACAAGCACGTTCACGAACATGTTCATTAATATTTGCGAACATGTTCGTTCACATTCGTGAATTCTTAATAACCAAACATATAAACATGTTCATGATCACAATTTGTTCGTGAACAATAAATAATCTATGTTTACTAAAAATAATCAAACAAGTAACACAACTACAAAGAGAATACAAACAAAATATTAAACGAACACTAAACGAGCTTGTTCACGAACATTATTAAACGAACACAAACGAGCTTGTTCACGATCTCTTAGCAAACGAGCTTGCAACTGTTCAGACTCTGTTCATTTATCAACCGTGTTCTAAATTTTGTTTGTTAATAATGTTCGTTTACTAAATGAACATAAACGAACGTTTACCGAACACAAACACGAGTAGTTTATCAAAAGTTTTGTTCGCTAACATATTTGAGCATTATTCCAAAATAAAATAAAATCAATATTGACAAAAAGTCAATGCCCCACACTGGGGTTCAAAACTAAAACCTCTCATTTGAAGGGCCACAATTATGCCGTTCAACCACAAGGCCTTTGACTTATAAATAGTACTTTATTTCCTTATATTTGTATACAGTACGTAACAGCCTCAACTGCCTTTGAATAAGCTCTGAAACCCATTATCATATCAAACATTTTAACACTACTATACGCTATAAGTTATTACTAGTAGCAAATGAGCAATTTTATCTTTGTATATTTGCATAATAGTCAGCATCATGTTTCGATTGTCAGATATTAGACTTGACCTTCCAATCTTTTACCCAACACAAATTTTATTATTTTAAAATTAATTAAATCTAAATCGTTGAGCAAGGGTGCATCGTGGAATCATAAAATCAAACTCATATTTCTTTGGAACACGCAATTATTATTTTTTAGCATCTTTAAAAGTTCAAAATTTTGGATGGTTTTTTCAGTGCCAAGTACGATAGACACTGAAAAGAGAGGCAAATTATATTATGCACCGCGGTGCATAATCGATTATGCACCGCGCGTCTTTTTTTTTTTTTTTTAAATGAAAATAAACAATGTTAGTTTCCGTCGTTTCGCACCCTTTTGCAAAAAGTAACTCTGTTATTCAGTGTCATTTTGTATACTGCAGTTTCAGTTTAACACAACTACAGTTTCATTTCGATATAACTATAGTTTCATTCGATATTTATAGACTCAAATATGTGAAAATGTTATTTAATTTTATTTTATATACACTATAGTTTCATTAAAACACAACTACATGATCATTTTGATATAATTACAGCTTCATTGTACAATATACACTCAAATATGTGAAATGTTATTCAGTTTCATTTTACACTGCAGTTTCATTTCACTATAACTACAGTATCATTTTGATATAACTGCAGTGTCGGTTTAGATATAATATAGTGTCAGTTGGTGTTTAATACACCAAACAAGCGGACTCCGTTAACTCTAACGGCGGGCCGTTTCTTTACTTAAAGAAATGGCGCCGTTTTTTACCGCGGTGCACATGCACCGCGGTCTATAATATAACGACCGGAAAAGAGAAGAGCAAAATTGAGGAAAAAATTTGACGAAAAATAAAAAAGCAAAAAATAAAAAAGTTATTTTAACTTTGCGCGTCCAACTTGCGTGTGCATTGCTGGCTTGTGTGGACCAAGTTGTATGGACTATATTTTGTATACTGTAAAATAATGTAAATTCAATACAAAAATAATGTACATTCAGTACAAAAATAATGTACATTGTATTCAGGGGATGTACATTATTTTTGTACTGAGTATACATTATATTGTATAATGTACATATAATACAAAAATAATATACATTTAGTATATTAAAAATGTACTTTTTGTTATGGTCCATATAACATTGTGTCACAGTCACCTAGCAACTCTTGATTGGACTCCATAAAATATCTTTGTAGAATAATATGGAAAATACTTGGTGTACTCTCATTTTAAACTCTCAACTTGTACTTCATCTCACATGTTCTTAATGTAGACGTTTTTCTGTGAACACACATGATAAAAATAAGAGTAATACTACATATACTCCCATATTGTACTCCATTTTTTACTCCATGCTTACATGTCATCTTTTGATTCATTCAAAGTAAGGTGGACCACAGTTTTTATTACTTTGTTTTCATCTTCCTCCAATAAAATTAAGACATGTGGCGAAAATTTTACTCCCTTAGTACATATATCATTTTCCTAAAAGTAACCAATCATGATTTGTCACATCAAGAAATATAAATGAGGGAGTAAAATTTTGGTCACCTGTTCAAGGCACGAAAATAGAGAGCAAAAGTTGAGTGATAAGATGGTGGTCATGGTCATCATTACTATGGCAGAGGTATTGTACTTGGGGTACAAAATGGTAACAGCATTCATTATATGAGAGTACAGTGTAGTAATGTAGCATGGCCGTATGACAATGACAAATCCATCAATCGATTGACAACAAAAAAAAATGAAGTTTCTTTTTTTTTTTTTTTTTTGAAGAAAAATGAAGTTTCTCTTTCTTATTATTAATCAGTAAACCAACAACCGCTCCCATAAAATCATAAATGTCTCATTTGGTCACCCCACTTGCTCAAAACTCGACAACCAAACAATAATGGCATGTTTGGTTCATCGTAATTTGGTTGTAGTTGAGTTTTTTTTTCTTTTTTTTTTTGAAAGCCAACTAATAAATAATTGTATTAATAAAGCAAAGTTGCAATAGTGTCAGGTGGGATTAAATCTCATGTCATAACCTGATCCTGAGTAAAAGCTAACGAAGCTAAAGCATGTGCATGTAAATTAAACGGCCTAGAAACATAACTTAACGAACAATAAGTAAATGAAGTCATCAGCGACCTACAATGGTCGACTGCAAGTCCAGCATATGACATAATAGTTGTTGATCCCTGGCATACGGCATTCCGTAGTTGCAAACAATCTGTGAGTAGATCCACATCAACCGTATTCCTTCCGATGAGCCATGATAGAGCCTCCTTACAAGTCATGGCCTCCGCCATAAAAGGTGAGAAGCAGGTTGGTAGAATTCCGTTTCGCGCCGCTATGAACGATCCATCCGGCGAGAGTAGGACCACTCCATAGGACGCCTCCCCCGTAGCATGACGGAAGCTTGCGTCGACAAAACACCTTGGCTTGGCGTGATGGGCATTCTCCGATCCGTGTGGTGCCGGCAGCGCGGGGTGGTGATTGGAGTGGCGGTATGACCCCATTGCCGCGGATGCTTTCCTCCACAGGCCGGCGGGACGTAGCAAAGATTTCTCCCACACGGCTGAGTTGCGACTCTGCCACAAGTGATAAAGAACCGCCACCAAAGTACCACTCTGTTCCTCTGTCAAAATTGCAAGCACGGCTGTTAGCCAGGCAAGAAAAGAATTGGTAATAATATTTGTGATAGGTAGGCCTGTAATATTCCAAACTAATTTAGAATAATCACAAGTAATAAGTGCATGCATAACATCCTCATTCATTACACCACACTTCTGGCATATAGGATCAATATCCACCCTTTTAACAATTAATTTAGCAGTGGTAGAGAGGATGTCACAAATTGCTCTCCACAGAAAAGTCCTCCACTTTGGTGGCACCTTAATTTTCCATATACTAGTCAACTTATCAAATTCTCCTGGCACATGGTCATAATTACCCATAATACTCCTGTAGACATTCTTTACTGAATAAATTCCATTTGGGTCCCCAAGCCAATACCACGAGTCATCATAACCAGGACTTACAGGGATCCTAAGTATACGATTGACATCCTTCGAAATAAATAAATCAGACAAAATATAGGGATCCCACATATTAGTATGCTCATCAATTAAGCCTGCCACTTTCGCATGTCTCAATTCCTCAGGCATATCAGTTTGAATGAGAGGGCTAGGATCATCTGGCAACCACGGGTATCTCCAAATTAAAGTTGTTTGACCATCTCCAATCCGTCTACGTACTCCTGCAACAACCATATCATGAGCCGCCATAATACTCCTCCAAGCATAACTTGGACTACTGCCGATTTTAGCATCAATAAATGAGGTAGCAGGATAATATCGGGCTTTATAAATTGATGCAACCAGAGAGGTGGGATTTGTAAGAAAGCGCCATGCCTGCTTCCCTAACATTGCCAAATTAAAGTTCCTGAGATCCTTAAATCCCAGACCACCATACTTCTTAGGGATACATAATTTATCCCAGGCTTTCCAGTGAATTCCCCTCTCTCCTCCATTTCCCCACCAATACCTGTTCATAGTCCTCTGAATTGACAAACAGACCGTGTCAGGTAGTAATAAAACACCCATTGAAAAAGTTGGCATTGACTGCGCCACACTCTTTAATAGGATCTCCTTACCTGCCTGTGATAGTAACTTCTTATTCCACGAGCCAATTCTTTGTTTTATTCTATCCTCAGTATAGGAGAACACCATTCTCTTATTCCTCCCAATAAAAGAGGGCAGCCCCAAATATTTCCCAAAATTGGGTGCCTGATCCACCTGCAAACACGCAGCCACTACATCCATGTCCTCCTCCCTGGTGTTCTTACTAAAACAGATACTGGATTTATGATAGTTTACCTTTTGCCCCGACAACTCCTCATATCTTTGTAGGCACTCCTTAACCACCGTTGCCTCCTGATTGTTTGCTTTAAAGAACAACATGCTGTCATCTGCAAAAAAACAAATGCGAAACCGGGGGCACCCCGCGCCACCCTACACCCATGTATAGAGCCAGTTATCTGAGCCTTCTGTAATAACATAGACAAACCTTCTGCACAAATAATGAATAAATACGGGGAAAGCGGATCACCCTGTCTAAGACCACGGGACGGTACCAACCTGCCACTATGAGCACCGTTAACCATAATATTATACTGCACTGTAGTAACACAATGCATGATCAGATTAATCCATCTTTCGTCAAACCCCATAACCTCCAACATTCTCCGCAGGAACCGTCATTCCATTCTATCATACGCTTTAGCCATGTCTAACTTTAATGACCACACCTTGTCCGACCACACTGCTTCCTATTCAAGTAATGTCCCACTTCCGCAGCAATAAGAATATTATCAGTAATTAATCTACCAGGAATAAAAACACTCTGAGATTCAGAGATAATGTCCCCCATCAGTGGTTTCATCCTGTTAGCTATTACCTTTGCCATAATTCTATACAACACATTACTTAAAGCAATTGGTCTCATATCAGCCACAGTCTCAGGCACATTCTTTTTGGGGATTAAAATTACATTAGTATCGTTCAATCCATCGGGGAAGATGCCAGTATTCAAACAATCTATGATAAACTCAAATACATCCCCTCCTACTATATCCCAAAACTGCGGATAGAACCCCGGGTTCAAACCATCCGGCCCCGGTGCCTTATCAGGGAACATCGCAAATAATGCACTTTTAACCTCATCAGACTCATAGGGACGCAATAAAGCATTATTTTGATCATTCGTTGCACGGGGAATAAACTCATCAAACATGGGATCCTCACACACAGAATCAGAAGAGGCAAAAATAACATCATAATAATCCAAAATAACTCTCTTCATATCATCCCCCTCCACCCAACCACCAGCATCATCTTTAATCTAGATAGATAATTTTTACGCTTACGAGCAGAGGCATATCTGTGGTAAAATTTTGTGTTCGCATCCGCACCACGGAGCCAATGTTGTTTGGCCCGCTGCCTCCAAAACACATCTTCCTGGACCTCTACCTGAGTTAGCATGGCTTCAAGCCGTCGAAACACAGCCAGGGAAGCCGAGTCCCTTCGGTGTCTCAACGCATCCTGCTCGCGCCTCAACTCCTTTATGCGGTCCCCAAATTTACTCCAGTGTTCCACACCCCACCGCATAAGCCTACCACCACAATATTGTTGACAATTCAACAAACCCCTGTCCTTTCCATCCTGCCAGGCAGATTCAACCACCTCCCTGCAACCATCATCATGAATCCAGGCCATTTCAAACCTAAATCCCCTCGGTCCCACTTGCCTGCGTACCATTGAATTGTAATTCTATGGAAGTTACAATTACGCCATTTGGTTGGAAGGAATTGCAATTCCTTCCAATTGTTGAATTAGAATTCATACCCCACCCCAATAATTCGGTGGTCAAAGGGAGAAAAAAATGATTGTGAAGACCTTTTTGCCCTCACCTTTGCGCAGCAGCTGGAGGCTAAATTATTTTGCTCAGTACGCAAGTTGCTTAACCTTTCATGCTGCAGTGGGTAAATTATTGTGTGGACCATGGTACACACAATGTTATGTGGACCATAACAAAAAGTACATTTTAATATACTAAATGTACATTATACAATATAATGTACACTCAGAACAAAAATAATGTACATCTCCTGAATACAATTTACATTATTTTTGTACTGAATGTACATTATTTTACAATAGACAAAATATGGTCCACACAACTTGTGTGGACCATGGTCCACACAATAATGATATCATTCTTAAATCTAACTCTCTCAATTTTATTCTCTCTAATATTACGGACTTTGATAAGTTATACTCCATCCGTCTCATTTCAATTTTTCATAATATTAAGTTTAGTATTAGTATACAGAATTTATATATTTAGAAATTACGGTTCATTTCTCAACCTACTAAAGTACAAAGAGTTGGTAACGCCTCCACTGAGGCTTGAACTCATAACCTTCCATATGGGAGTCCAATCGTGGTGCTGAAAGTGTTAATTTGACCCATAAATAGTAAGTATGACAGATAAAATGAGACATAGAAAGTATTTTTTATGTGGGTCTCAATAAGTGTCATGACTTTGTATGTGTGAGTAAAAAATGAGAATACACAGCACTTTCCTTTTAAAATCTCATTGTTTGATTAAAAGAAGTTTTTGCATTAATTTATACGGAGTACTTTTTAAGGTGTCTTCCCTCAAGATTGATGAAATAGGATTGGGTATTATAGATTGGAATATAGGATTGTCTATCACTAGAATACCACATTAATTAGTTGATTCTAGATATCATTTTTTTTTTCAAATTAAAATCAGACACCCTAACCAGCTGCCCAGTGTACCTAAATCCTTGAAGGAAATTGCTTTGTGAGTAGTCTGCACTCTGAGATGTTGGCCCTTCATATACTTGGGAGCAATACCAGTGCAGGATTCATAGAACTAGTTTGTACAATTTGCATAGTTTCTTAATGACTCATACAACTTTGACATATAATTTTTCGCTATTAATTTTCTTATGAAGAAAAGTTTATGAGAGAATCACTTGAACCGATTGGCATTTCATTGTAACAATCGCTCATTGCTTGAAAATTGAATTCATGTTGGTCGGAATTGTACTCAAGAATATCATCACGACCTTCAAGCATGTTGACTATTGCAGACATGGATGGCCTAAGGGCTGGTGAAGGATTAGTACAAAGCAAAGCCACTTTGATCATTCTGAGCGCTTCTTCTTTGTCCAAATCAGAACCCAATCTTGGATCTATTAACTCCATTAGGTTTCCATGTTTTTGAAGAGCAAGTGCCTGAAAATTGTGCATTAAATACCACGTAACACAACAGAATATAAGAATAGGTCACTTAGTTTGACATATATGTTTGCAATCCATGAATATAGTATTGGCATCTCACCCAATCAAGGAGGCAAGCGTAGTTCTCGTTAGGACGAAACTTCATGTTGTTCTTCCCGACAACAATTTCCAGTGTCACTACCCCGAAACTATAGACATCAGCTTTAAATGTTAAGTAGCCCCACAATGCATATTCAGGAGCTGTGTATCCCCTATCAAGAAAAATTAAAAGAGTAACGAACTACATTATCTTTCTTGAAGGATTCAATGCAAAAGGGCATAGAAAGAAGCCGGGAGATTCAAAATTTTGCCAGGAGTGATCAATTCAATCAATTAAAATGCAACTTTCACAACAGCAATAATGAAATTTTTAGAAACAAATTAAAGTTGTTTATGCATGTTGTAATAGGAAATTTGGGATATGAGTAAAAAATGAGGGGAAGGAGAAGACAGAGCTATAGTGTTAGGTTATAAAACTTACATTGTCCCAACAACTCTTGTGCTGACGTTTGTATTCCCGTCATCCTCAAGTTTAGCTAGACCAAAGTCAGAAATTTTTGGATTAAGGTCTTTGTCGAGAAGCACATTAGTGGCTTTAATGTCTCGATGAACAACTTTTACTACCGACTCTTCATGCAGAAAAGCTAAACCTTTTGCAATACCGATGCAAATTCTTTGTCGAGTTGGCCAATCTATATTTAGTTGACACTTTTCTGAACCTGTAATTAAATATTAACTTAGAATACTTAAAGGAAGATTATTATGTCTTATTGCCTTATGTCTTTTATTGACAAGTGGCTGAAATAATTAAGATTTAAAAATTTACCAAAAAGAGCATGGGCAAGGCTGTTGTTTTCCAAGTACTCATACACCAGCAACAACTGCTTCCACTCAATACAACACCCATAAAGTTTCACAAGATTAGGGTGCTGCAAACAAGAAATCATACTTATTTCATTCAAAAATTCACGGTGTCCTTGACTTGATTTGGATGAGAGTTGTTTCACGGCAATAACTGTACCATCCAATAATGTACCCTAGTTTTATACACAAGGAAAGATCCAACTTCATCAACATAATAAGCATCTATAGTAAGTGTGAAGGTAACTGATTATGAATATTCATATTTCTCGATACCTTGTAGACAGGCCCAAAACCACCTTCCCCAATCTTATTTGCAGCATCAAAATTGTTTGTGGCGGCTTTAATTTGTCTGAAGGTAAATAGGCCAGTTTGTAGATCAAGGCCTCGTAGTTCTGTACCAAGAGAATTACTTTTAAAGTACTGCATAAAAAAATATTTTGGGATGAATCATTTGCAAAGAACAAGCAAATATTACCCTTTTCCCGTGAGGTCTTGTTTCTAATGTAGAACTTCCACCAAGATAGACTGAGAATTACGAAAATAAGAGATAAAGAAGAAGCTACTGCAACTAAACTGAGAATTAAAGTCTTCATATTTTTGGGAGGCTCGAAATCTGCAGTTTTGTAGAAAAGGCATGAGAGTGAGTAAGAGTTAGATATCTTTAATTTCTCTGAAACTATATAGAACAATGAAAAATAAATCTACAAAATTGGCTAATAGTAGCAAAAAATATTACCAGATTCGACAGAAATGGCAGATATTAAAGGGCCATATGTTCCTTTACTTGGGGACGACGTTGTTCCTTTTCCAGCATACTCAAAGCGCACTTCTAGAGTTTTATCTCTGACAACTGCTCGAAATTGTTTAATCAAGGCTTTATCAACTCCTTGTGCTTCAGTTTCAATATTAAAATCCTTTAATTTCCTCTCGCCCTGTAGCCAATAAATCACTATGGTCAAATCCTCATCACCTAACCATTGGAGTCTATTTAAACTACAAAATTCTCGATTGACCTGTATATAAACATCAAATACGCGTCTTCCCAGACTTTGAAAAGATCTATTATCTCTCATAACTATCTCTGCAAAATGAAGTTTCACAGTATAGTTTCCATTTGCTAAACAACGTCCATAATAAGTCAAGGATAAAGGGGACAAGCGAGCTGTCTGGTAGATTTGAGAGTCTTTTTCCTTGATGACAGATGTATTTGTCGTTGTATAGTCAGATAGTCCTATGGTTTTATCCCAAAAATATCCGGTATTACTGGTTACCCAGTTCTCTCTATTGGAAACAAATTTTGCAAAGCCTGTAGAATCTTGATCTGCATCATAAGTAGTGTCACCAATCACAACATTGCCTCCACCACAATTGATGTGAAATGAATACCAATCTGCAGATTAAAAAAAAAAAAAAAGGCTTAAAAGTATACAGAGATATACAGAGAAAAGGCTTCTCATTGCTTATCACTTACCTTTCGTGCAATTTTTTAGACACTCGTCAATTTTTCTATACAAAGCCAAAAGTGGGATAAAGTTAGAAGTCTTTGGAGACTAAATTAACATTAAGAGTTTCACTATATTCATGGTTTGTTAGAGGATATATGTTAAAAAACTTACTCATTTTCTCCTCCATTATAGCTTTTGAACAAGTTTCTGATAGGAAAATGAGAAAACTAAATTAATCATGTTTGAAAGAACACTTAGGAGAGTACGTAGATGCATATTATAAGAGGCCAGAATCTTACAAGGCTTCCCGGTTGCAAATAGTTGTCGACGCCGAGTTCTCCTTAAAAGTATTGAAAGAAAGATCCGTGTAACTGCACACCATCTTTTCAATTATGTTAGTTATATAGCTAACTTCATATTCAGATATCTAATATTTAAGACTGAACTTACTATCTGGAATCTCGATTTAGAACCCATTGAGGTATTTGTCCACTAAGCGAGTTGTTCATTAGATACCTAGAACAGGTAGCACAAAATTCAACTTAGTAGTTTAGAGTGAGACACACAATTAACCAAATCCAAATATGAGACAAAATAACTAGAATCCTGATTAGCTTTCTATTAGAACAAAATGCCCAAATAGAAAGGAAGTTTCTTATGCATATTTGTTACTCACATGTACTGCAGTTTATCGAGACCCTGAAGGCCATCAATCCCTCCTTCCAGATTATTAAAACTCAAATCTCTGCAAACTCAATATATGTTCTGTAAGCATCAACTTTAATATATTCTCAGCCAAGAACGATCAAAAGAAAATTTAAGTTGCAGAAATTACAGTTGTTGCAAGCTTGTCATGTGAGCTATATCAGGTATTTTCCCAGAAATATTACACCTCCTCAACATCCTGCACCCAAAGTGATTTTTTGCGTAAATAACTTCACTTCATAGTAGAATCACTACTGAAAATTATGAAATTTTCGACCACCTGAAAGTGATCTTAAATCAAGTCTTGTTCCGACCACTTTTGGTATCCGGAAAAACCTTTGTTGCTATTTCCGACCACTTTTTACTTTCGACTTGATTTAAGATCACTTTCAGGTGGTCGGAAATTCCATAATTTCCAGTAGTGAATTATGAAACTTATATTAAGGTCATTTTTTAAAAAGAAAAGGCATTACTCACAGCTTTGTCATGTTTGTCGTGTACTTTAATGTAGGAAATCTGGAGACACCACCTCCGTTTAGGTCACTGATTCTACTGCAGATTCATGTTGTTCACAATTACATTTTAGTTTGCTGATCTTATTAAGTCTTAACCATAAAAGTTTCTGCTATATATAATTAAATCGTCAAAGGAAATCTTAACTCACAGTTCTATCAAGCTTGTTAGTACAGAAATACTTTCAGGTATCGGCCCTTCAAAACCACTTGCTTGGACCTCTCTGCCAATCATGCTTCTCATTAAAAAAATTATATATTTCATCCAAAAATTTCAATTTTAAAGTGTTGCATTTGAATTCTTACAATTGTTGAAGATTTTTGAAAGTTTGAAAGCTAGGCAGTTTCCCAGTGAAGCTATTACTGCTGAGCCTACTGCATTTATTTCCCAAGAGTCGATCGAGGATACACGAAAAGTGAGCATAAAGTATATATAGAAGAGACAACAAAAGATGTTCATAAATGAGGATATGCCTAATAATGCACTTACAACTCCTTCAATTTTGTGAGGGCATTAAGTTCTTTTGGCAATTCACCTGTGAGATAATTAGCACTAAGAATGCTACACAAATCAAAAATAAAGAAAGCATCAAACAAGTGAGACCCAAAAAATTAAAAATTCAGCCCAGGTGGTGATTAACAAAGGCTTACAGATTTTGTAAGTTTACAAGTTTCCCAAGCTCAGGTGGAACACTTCCTTTGAACATATTGTTCTCCAGGTTTCTGCAAATTCATTTGTTAAGTTGTTAGAACAAAACCCAAACAATAAGCTCCTCAGAAAAAAAAATGTTAAACAAAAGTTTTAATTGTGTAAATAATAGAGTGAGAGGAGCAAGGGGACATACAAATATACAAGAGTTGTTATGATTCCCAAGTATTTCGGAATTGGCCCAGACAATCGATTCACATTAACACATCTGCAAATTTTCACTTCTTTACCATAGACAAGAAGATTGCTTACACTTGAATAGCTTAGGTTATAGTACAAATTAAACACAACTTACATAAGTTCCAATTTCATAGAAGCCCATCCAAGGGGAATTGTACCACTTAAGTAGTTGCGGGTGAGGTCACTGCACAAAATAACACTAATAATCAAGAAAAGAGTATCAACAAGAAGAGGTGATTATTGCATAAATGTAGAATAGCCATGTTTGGTAACATAGTTAGCTTATCAGTCAATTTTTGCTTATTTATCCATTATTAGTTGTTTGACTTGTTCGATTAACAACAATCAATATGAATGTTCGATTAATTAGCTTTTTGTAACAGCTTATTGCTCCAAAATGTTAAAATTCAAAAAGCTGTTCAAAGTAACTTTTTCGATCAACTTTTTTAGAAAAGTCATTTTGCATGTAATCAGTTATCAGCTAACAATTAACTTACCAAACACTTTTCTACAATCAGCTAATGGTTGTAGTAGGCGCTAGGCGGGCGTCCGGGCAGCACCTAGCGCCTAGGTAGTCTAGGCGGAATCTAGGCGGTGCTAGGCGGGCACAAAAAAAATTTTAAAAAATAGTGACAGACTTGTAGTTTGACAATTTTAATGAGGTTGTTTTCAACCTTCAATCAAATAATACATCCAAATAAATGAAATAATGATAATTTATAAGTCATAACATCATAATAATATTAAAATCAATAATTAATGAAAGACGACATCGGACGAAATCGGTCAAAATCGAACGAAATTAGTCAAAATCAGACGGAATCGGTTAAAATCACGCCTAGGCGGCCCACCGAGTAATGGCCCACTACAACAAAAAATGGCACGGCATGGCGAAGCCTAGGCCGAGTTTTACAACACTGCTATTGTCAACTAGTCAAACCCACTAACCCAATCAGATAACAGCTATTTACCAAACACCCCCAAAGTGTAGGTTGGTACATTATCTTGAGAAAGGGTAACTTCACCAAGGCAGGAGGAAGGACACCCTGCAGATCCTGTCCCTTCAAATTTCTGCTTACACAAACAATAGAGACTATTTTTAGAACAATGTGTGATGTTTTATAGAAGAAAAAAAAAAAAAGGGAGAGTTGGGTAGAAGGAAAAGCTTACATGCTTTGCACATGGCAAATACCACCAAGGAAGGTGCAATCACAAGTGAGAATATTAGTGTACAAAGGCCTATCTTTCCCTTGTGGTGTCAACCAGTTGGAGTTGTTATCACAAGGATTTAGTCTAAAATCCCAATCCTTCTTCCCCAGTTGATCTGCTATTTCCTTAAGTGCATTTACTTCCATATACATTATATTCAACAAAAGCTAGCTGTTAATACATATATACATTCAACAAAAACTCATAATCATAAAGAAAACAACAGATTAGAACAGAGAGCTGAGGGGGCTCACATTCATCTTGAGGAAGATGCCCACTTTGTGCTTCAAGGAATGTTGCATTGAAGGAGAGTAGTATAATTGGTATAAGGATTATGAACATGGTTGAGTTCTGGGATGGGGATGGAAGATCAGCTGCAGTGAGTAATATATTTATTGTGCATAATAAATAAAGATAGAATTATGGAAACAAGAAAACAGCAGTTGACTATAAGTCAATGAGGTCTGTGCAAGTGGACCCAGAAATGACATATAGTTTGGTTGAGAATATGAGTTTTGAGCAAGATTCTATCTTAAACCTGCAGAATGATTATTTAGTATATAATAATATACAAATATAAATGTAAAAAAATTTAAAGTTGCAGGCTGCAAGCCTGCAGCATACTCTGGACTGCCGCACTGCCACATTGGGCAGTGGGGATGTCCTTTGTGGTACCGTGTTAGGTGGAGCAAGTGGCTTATGGGGTGACGTGATACCAAAGAAGAAGTTGTGATCCACGTGTTGTTTGAATCTCATTAAATATCTAAAATTTAAATAAATTTAAAATTTTAATATAAAGTAATAATATTGGGCATCTATTTTTTATGCATCGCGCATAAACAAAAATAATAGTATAAACATAAATGTACAATCCAACTATCAATTTAATAGTATAATGCAATCCAACTATCAATTTAGGCTTTTAGTTGATATGGAGCACATGCTTCAATTATGATAGATTTATCATTTAAAACTAAATATATATTTTTAGTGATTGTTGTGCCATTATTATATTTTGCTCTAACTTTAGAAGTAATTATATTTAGTCTCATGATGATATAACATACATATTTAAAAAAGCCACCCTTTTATGAGTTCAATTATCTTTATTATGTTGTGTATAAATGTGTTTTAACTTGTAAGTAGGTTTAGGAGATTAAGATTATGAAATACCATACTTGAGAGCATAAGAAAGCTTATACTCAAGTCTAGATTATTCGATAGTGTGTATTAGGTAAATCCAGTCTTGTAATCTTAATTGGTAAAGGACCACAAGAAAGTAAATTAATCTATGTTGTTCATAGTTAATTGGCGTAAACCAATAACATTAATAGACCACTTTTGCTAAATTGTAATTTATACAATTTACAAATATGTCAATTATCAATGTCACTCCTGAATTATTAGTGGTGTAAATGTTGTCCCTCAATTTTCAAAACATGTTATATATTGCCCTTCCCATGAATTAGTACAGTACATGTGGTTACCCGTCGTTTTCCTTGTTCAAAGATCACGTTTTTTTTTTCTCTATTTTTCTTCTTTGTTTGTTCTCCTTCTGCCGACATCAATGTTCCTCATTTTCCTATTAGGGAAGGGACAATATATGTCACGTTCTAAAAATTGATGAGCAACATTTACACCTCTAATAATTCATATGTAACATTAATAATTAGTATATTTATAAGGAACATAAATTACAATTTTCCCATTAAACTTATAATCTTGTTGCATGTGGTAATATTTTATATTCCGTACTGAGTAAATTTCTGGGAAATTTAGATGAATATGGCTCCAAGTCTTCCAAGTCAACAAATCAATAATTCATTGTACTCTCACCTTCCTTTACTTGCCAATAACCAATGAATACATCTCAATCTGCATGCCAGACGTGCATGAACAAAGAAATTAAAGGTAAAGTGGACTATAATTACTTATTCCCATCTAATTCATTAAAATGTACCACGAAATATTATTATTACTATTATTTTGATACAAACGATGCGAGACTCTGTAAAATATTAACTATAGCTAGTAGAAGCGAAGAGCAACCCTATTTGGGGTTTTAAATATTTTTTCAGGTAGAAAAAACTAGGCATTAAGTTTTTGACAAATAGAAAATTGAGTTTTACACAAATTTTATTCACGTGTAAGTATAAATTTTTAATGGAACCCACGCTAATGGAGAAAAAAAAAAAAAAAAAAAAAAAAACGCAAAACTTAGTTCGCGCGTTGGGCATAATATGCATGCCCAGATAGCACGCGCCTAGACCGTTTAGTTTTTTTTTTTTTTTTTCTTTCTTGAGAATCTTTTTTTTTTCTCTATTTTTCTCATTCCTCTCTCCTACTTGTCCCAGAAAAAAACTCCATAAAAAACCAAACTAATGTTGTTGCTAAGTTTTCTTTAGGGAATTAGAAGGAGTCAAGTATAAAAGTTTATTACCACTAATATAATTTTGATGGATGATAATCAATTTCATTTTTTTTTTTTTTGTGAAGGTATGTATGGGAAAGATTATATATGACGAGTTCAATCAATAAATTATTAGTAAGAAGTGAACCTGTGACATTTAGATACGATGTCACACCTACTGAGTCTCCCGACCTTTTGGAACTATAAATTTTTCAACAAGTTTGAGGAGGGTGGGGGCAAATACATATATTTACATATACAAGTATTTTGTACGCGCAATAACGATTAAATAATTCATGTTTAATATTAAAATATTGATAAATAAAAGTAATTAAAAAATTAGTTCAAATTATATTTTAATTTAAATAATAATAATTATATATACATACATATTAAAATTATTGACAATTTTTAGGAGTTGCCAACCCCTTGAAGGCCCTAATTGTGCCCATGTAACAAGCCATCCGACACTTGAACATAGACACCGCACCCCCAAAATTGTGCCCATGTAACAAGTCATCTGACACTAGAACGCACTGAAGGACACCCAATTACTTCGACACTACAAGAATTTCATCGCAAAAATAAATTTTACTTTAAATTAAATATTTTCACGAAGGAAAAAATAACCATCGCGATTTCTATCGACACTTCATTGGCGCAAAGATTAATGAGAGTATTGTGATGGGGACATGGGACCCCGGAAGGGCCATTTTAATCGGAAAGTCTTGGCCCAACTGCCCAAACGAGGTGTCTATCTGTATGACAAATTATGTTGTGGAATCGTGTCCACCTTGCAAGGTGGACACGGTTCTAAAACTGTTCATAATTATGAATATAGAGTTGCGAACATAATTATGAATATATAGTTCTGTAATTATGAATATAGAGATTCAATAATTATGAATATGAAGTTCAAAAATTATATTATGAATATATAGCTTTATAATTATGAACATATAGTTCAGTAATTATGAACATAGACTTCTGTAATTGTGAATATAGAGTTCAATAATTATGAATATGAAGTTCAAAAATTATGAATATATAGCTTTATAATTATGAACATATAGTTTAGTAATTATGAACATAGAACCATGTCCACCTTGCAAGGTGGACACGGACACACGGTTTCACAGCATAACGATTGCCATCTGTATGGGCTCCATCTGTTGTTGGCTCATTAAGAATAATGGAAATTTATTGGGCTAAGGAAATAAGGAAGCTTGGAGCAAGGCAAATTATATCGTGCACCGCGCATGAAACAACGTCGTTTTGTTTAAAGAAAAGAAACGGCATTCGTTTCTCGTCGTTCCGCACCCTTCCGCAAAAGTAACTCTGTTATTCAGTTTCATTTTGTATACACTGCAGTTTCAGTTCAACACAATTACAGTTTCACTTCGATATTTATAGACTCAAATAAGTGAAAATGTTATTTAATTTTATTTTATATACACTATAGTTTAATTAAAGCACAACTACATGATCATTTTTATATAATTACAACTTCATTGTACAATATACACTCAAATATGTGAAATGTTATTCAGTTTCATTTAATATACACTGCAGTTTCATTTCACCACAACTACAGTACCATTTTGATATAACTGCAATTTCATTTGATAATATAAAAATAATACATGAGGTAATGTCGTTTTAGATATACTGTAGTGTCAGTTTAGATACATTGTAGTGTCAGTTGGTAATTAACATACAAAAAAATGCGCGCTCCGTGTGGCAATGTTTCCATTACGAATCATGATTTTCTTGTAGTGCTAACTCAAAATCTAAAGAAGAGAAGAGATCTTGTACGTAGAAGTGTACAATTTGATGTTGATCTCACACTCCCATAATAATAATAATAATAATAATAATAATAATAATAATAATAACAATAACAATAACAATAACAATAATAATAATAATAATAATAATAAAAGTTTAGTTGATAATTTGAGTAATAAATACAAATTAAAATCTAATTATCTAAATATACATTATATATAAGCACACATGAAATTTGTTCAAAAAATTTATTGTGTTTCAACAGTTGAAGTACATACTTTTTGTGTTTGAACAGTAGAAGTTAATGCTTATGAGGCATTTCGCCTCCTTGTGGCCATGCATAGCAAATCCAGATAATAGCGGTCCTAGTCTTTACATCTTTAGTTGGACCCAGATTTTCAAAGTCAATCTTGCCCTATCAATGCTCACACATATTTTCTTCATTTTGTGTTGATGTGATAACTTTAACTTATTGAAATATAATTGAGAGTTTGTTCACTAAAACTAAATGTTGTTCAATAATTATAGTCATTTCTGTTGCAATTGTATTGTTTGTGCCCGTTGGCCTTTAGCTTCTAACCGGTGAATTGAGACAATGAACATGAAAGTAACGAGCAAAGGAAAATAGAGAGACAAACTAGATTGGACAAGGGATTCTTATTCAACATCATCACCCATGTACAAAAGCTACAACATATATATAATATACAAATGTAATAATGGGTACAATAATGATAAGCATAATGACGGACCGTTACATCCGTTATACTAATAATGTCCACTTAATGTATATATTTATAACACTCCCCCTTGGACATTATTTGTCAACAATCTTGCCTCGTTAAAAACTTGCTAGGAAAACCCTTTGGGAAAAACCTAAACAAGAAAAGAGTATAAGGTATATGCATATGGTATATTTGAATACACTCATGCCTCGTTAAAAACTTCACTAGGAAAATCACGTGGGAAAAACCTAGTTGAAGAAAAGAGTACATGAATTTGAAAAATCGTATATTATACTGATTGCCTCGTTAAAAACCTTAACTTAAGAAAACCTCGTGGGAAAAACTTAGTTAAGGGAAAAAGAGTACAACCATAAGCCTTCAAGGCATAATCTTCAGGATTTTGGGGGTTGTCTGTTTAAGTATTTGTCTTCAAGGCATAATC